GAACTTCAGATTGGCTGTCGACTTGCCAATCGCCAGCCCACTACCATTTCCGACAAGAGAAGAGCATTACCATAGAGTATTCTGATTCACGTCTTCTCGGAGAGACCTCAGCTCTCCAAGTTTCATCTTCAACATTGTAAAATTGTAATAGTATGATTCAAGGGAAGCTCAGGAGGATCACGTTTTGAGGGGCAGCGCTGCTTTTGCAATTGGCTAGACATCTGGTAGGTTTGCCCTCAGCAAGAACAATAATCTACAATTTACCAGGTTGACACTGGACCAGGATAGCAGTAAGATTTGAATGCGAGTTATTCAGTAGCTCTGGTTGCGGAAAGTTCTGCGGGCGCGCTTATGTTCAATTGGTAGTGTAGGTCATTTTTTACGGCAGTTCTCTGACACATTGCAATAGAAAGGGCTAGGGAGTGGTTGAATCACACCTCAGTGGCCGCCAGTAAAGGGAGAGGGGTGGCATTTTCAAAGAAGCATAGCAGATTGGCACCGGCACTGTCATCATGAGCAAGGGAGGGCAAGCCCCGGATCTTAAGAAGTGAGTTGGTCATGTCCTGAAAGAGGAACTCATTGAATTGCCTATGTTTCCTTTTAGGCTTGCTTGCACGGCGCTCTGCGTGTGGTGAACCTGATGGCTGGTGGCAGAGGCCATGTTAATATCAAGAGTGCTGAATGCGTTAGGGCCATGGCCAGACATTCTGGGTGGGATTGGAGGTTGATGACTGGTGTCTGGTGCTGTCGTAAGGTCCCATTGCTCGATGACTTTTGGTATGCTTGGAGAACATGGCCTGATGATTCTTTTTAGCTGACTTGTTTCTTTTCTCTCTTTCCAGGTACATGGATAAAAGGCTAAACAGTAAGTCGCTCAGTCATCCGCATTGATCAGCTTTTCTGCATTTCTTTTTTTGGATTCTACCACTTTTACTTGAAACAAACTCCCACCGGTAAGCGAAGAAGTTTTTCCCGCCGTTCTTCCAGGTGCGGCAAGACGGCTGCTACTTCCGATTGTGAGTCCGACCACCACTCCCCCGCACTTTTTACTGTGCGAAAGTTCTGGAGCAATTGTGCCCAAAATCTACTCCATATTTTTAGGTTCTTAGGCGACATCCAGGCGGGTAAGTTCAGCAAGCACTTTGGTTATGCAAGCCACTGGCGCTTTGACCGTACTTTTAGGAACCACAAAGTGAAAGGTAAGCTCTTTCAAAACTTGTTTTGATCCAAATTTCAGGTGGTTGCGCGATGAGGACAAGCGTAAGTCTGACCAGCCCTTCGTTTATAAGCCTCCTCTGACGCGCTTCATGGACCACAAGGTGCGATGTAAGTGGTGCTCCCCGTCCGTTTCATTTCCTTTTCTCTTTTCTCTGCTTTTACCGCAGTGACCTGAGGGGTTCAATAAAGCTGTGAGTCACTCTAGGCAACGTGTCTCTTTACTACCAAGCGCTATACAGTCGCCCTGCTTCTTGCAGTCTGGGTCCAAGCTCCACCAAAAGCTGCTCAAACCTGGTGTTTGTCAGCCCCTCCTCACATATTTCAAGCAGAACGGGATCATCAGCCTGGTGGGGCAAGAAAGGAGGTTTCGACTCTGGAGATTTTGTTTTGCGTATCCAGTTGGTCAAGATCAAGCAGGATGCTTTTCTTTTCAGGCGCTTTTATGTATGAAGTTGGCGATCCAAAGCGTCTGTTGTAAACGGTGCGGTCTTTGTATCACAGCAAAGTACATTGTCGAGTTGGGACCTCGGGAGAAGGGCGCCAAAGTCGAATGTGAAAAAGTTTCATCTTAGGTGCGCAGGCGGGAAAAGTGTGTCCATCCGGTCGCTGTAGAGCTTTCTCCTTCTTCAAGGTGGACGTCCGTCAGGAATAGTGTTGAGTCATTTGGACTCCAAGCAGGTCAATATCCTCAAGTAACTTCCGCCCGATCCTGTCTTGGTTGCTTCCGACTAGCCACGGGCGAAAAACAAATGCAAGGTGTTTGCAGCATGGGAGTCTACTATCAAGGGAGCATGAACGTTTGCCTTCCGTGGTCCTTTGCAGTCAAGCTGAACGCCAATCGGACGGTGGTGGGTGTGCTGCGCGGCTTCGACCAGTTCATGAACATCGTGCTGGACAACAGTGTGGAGCTGACCAAGGGGGGCGAGGAGAACGAGATCGGGATGGTGGTGAGTGCGCAATGATTCAAACCCTTTTCTGCTTGTGTAGTCGAATGTGTTCCACGATCCCTCCATATCCTGTACTGAACGTTGATCGCTTCGGAGGGGTTGAGGATATGTGGATAATGGTGACGGCTCATAGCTGCAACTCGATTTGTCTGGCTCCCATTCCATCTTTGTTTCGCGCTTCCTCCTTCCCATCTTAATCAATCCACTTCCGCTTTTACTCTCCTTGGCCTTGTGCGAAAGTTTGGAGTGTCCTGTTCAACTATTTGAGTACAGCAACACCTGACCGACGTCGATGAGCAACATGCATCGAAAGATTCTCCCGCTTTGTCGTGCAGCTTATGAGCCGTTGTTTGCTTTTTCAAGTTGCTTTTCTGCGTCCCAAGCTCGTGGTTTGACCACCTTGCGTGCTAGGCCGCTTCTAAACCAGGCTGCCTTGTGGAAGCGTCCGCTTTGTTTGACCTCTTCCTTCAAGGAACCAAAGCATTTGTACTCGAATCGTTCACCTGATTCGTTTCTACGTAAGCATAACGTTGGTCCTGGCTGCTGAACTGGGCTTAAAATAGTTGAAATGCAATTCACGGCGCCATAGTCGTTTGGTTCAATTGACTAGTCTCGAAAGAAGCATCCGATGCAGTTGCCACAAGCTGACACTGGCCGAATCAGAAGCTGACCAAGAGGACTGACACGCGCAAAAGATTCTCATATTTGCTGGGCAATCGCAGTCTTCTTCTGAAGGTACACCTGCAGGAATAGCACGTTGTCTGAAGCTGATCAGTATTGACAGCTTCGGTCACCGCTCTTTTGCAGGTCATCCGGGGGAACAGCGTCGTCATGATCGAAGCCCTAGAACATATAGAGACGAAGGAGGTCCCTGGAAACCGATAGTCCAACAGTGAACTCACCCACCTCCAACGCAACACGGTCCAGCTCTTGAATCTAATTTCATTATCTATCTTGATTGCCATGCTGTCATAATTGAGTCTACTATTGTGAAAATCGCAACATGTACTGATATGCATGTGTCGTATATCAAGTACGTCATGCTGTTTCACATATGGGTACCATGGGGCGCGCTATCAGCGTGGCCATCAGTTACTATCACGTGCATGCCAGCAAGGGCAATGCATGATGCCAGAGAAGCTGCGTTGCAATCTTTGTACATAAGGTAGCATGTGTGATCAACTAGATTAAGGACAAACGATGTTGACGGTTGCTTTCTACTGGCCGAAAAAGCTAGCTTTCCGGAAGGTCGAGCACAACGCGACATATGCGCTAGCCAGGATTGCGAGGATTGGACTTCTTGTTTGGACTTGCAATCTGCTTTAACATGTTGCAACTGTCGTCTTGAGGACATACGCTGAGACTCGCAGGTCAGCATGTACATTGCGCCCCAATGCAAGCAATCACCGAACTCTTCGAAGCTAGTCATACGCCCCGCCATATACTGATCGACAATCTCGATGCATCCTGCCGACGCGATCAGCCTTCATGATGCCTATGATTTGTATTCAAGCTGGCCGAACCTAGCCGGCCTTCATGGCGCTTTCCTCGTTCACAAATTTGTACTGTTGAGGTCGGCCATGCGATCATGAGACTCCCACTTAATCCCACTTGCATCTACCGGGATAAGTCTCACACTGTGCCACCGCATGGATCGGCAACATAGACGAACTGGAAAGTACTACTATCTGAGTAGCAGGGGCTCCGTCAGATCGGACCTTGAAGGTACAATGACGTACCTACAAATTTGCTTTGTATCTGAAACAAGAATTGAGACTGAAAACGATACCTAATTCTTTCTTTTGAAGCTGAAAGTGAAGCTGAAGTTGAAAGTGATGCTTTCAAGCTCAAGGAGTCTTGAAAAGGACCACAGCCTGCGTCCTGCTCAACAACAGCTTTGCGTAAGCAGAAAGCACGCCGAGTAGCAGAGCACGAATTCCTTGCATCACGATCGATTTCACTCGCTAGTTACTTTCACTCATGTCTCACAGAGGATCTCAGAGGACCAGCTTGTCGATGTAGAGTAATGGCACTCATACGCGGTCACAAAGTGACACGCTACCACATGTGCTTGGCTGCATCAGACATCCGTTTTCACGCTGCTCACCCGAAACGAGGGGAACATGTTCCACTAACTCGCCCTTCCTGCTTTCCTGTCCTTGCGAAGTCATGTGACCACCATCTCCGTTTGCCTCCCCCTCTTTTTGGACCGAACTCCTTACGGTCTGTCTAAAGAAGACCGGACCTCTGACTGCTCCCCCTTTAACAAGCCGCTCTGCAAAGGCAATCAAATGGGTTTGTACTCACCGGTCCAAAGTGACCCCTTGAGTAAACGTTCAGCGTCTGCTTGATTGACTCAAACAAAGGTTGCACTGCCGTGTTGATTAGTGCACCGTCTTGATCGTTGCAGTGAAAAGCTGCCCACTAAAAATACTTTCAAGTCACTTGAGATGCATTTGTTGGATAACACGAGAAGCGGGATGAGGACATCACTCTGGTGGAGCTTTAACGGCCTAAAGAACGAGAGCATGAAATTGCACACTATGCCCGATAGAACTCTCCCTCTCCTTCGAGAGAGGAGTTGGTGCCAAGGTAGCAAAGACGTCCTCGGAAGAAGGGAGACGTTGCAACTCCATTTCATCATCAGAACCTTTAGACAAAGCCTACATAACATGCAGTTTCTGGCTGTGGTGGCTGTGCATGCTTTCTCAAAGTTCATCAGAGGTGCTCGCCGGGTGCTCGCTAGTCTGGAGCTGAATGTCTTCAATGCCCCTTCAAGAAAAATTGCACACATGTCGGCCTGATTATCGGAGCCAGTGCCAGCGCTTAGAGAGTCCCACATAATATCCGTCACGTAGAACCAGGTGCAGAAGTTCATCAGAGATTAGAAGGAGAATCACTCTCAGAAAGTACACTCATATTTCGATCGGTGGACATGATCGTCTGGGAGTAGTGACAGGCAGCAAGTTCATAAGCAGGCGAGCTCCTTCACCTTCCGAGAGAACCAACTTGTATGTTCCCCCTGGTTCAAACCTTTGGATACTCCATCCGTCACTGTCTGCTTCCAAAACTTCGTCAATGTTGTTGGCCAGCTTCACGATCACGGACTTGGCATTAAACGCATGTAGAATGCTTTCCACTAGTACCCTCCGCTCGTACTGTCCAAATTCCGATCCGACCAATGACGCAGCGTCCTCAAAATATATGTTCGTCGTCATGTCGCTCACTAGATAATCAGATCCAACCAAGGAGCTCCGGGGGAGCTCCCAACATCCAAGGAGCTAGCGGGGGAGCTACTATTGGCTAGATGAGCGGGAGATGAGCTAGAGGAAGAAACGGGGAAGAAACTGGCCGCCTGAAACCCGTAACCAATGCAAACAGCTGCTGCACATGGTGCTACAGTATTGAAAGGTACCAACACGCCAATATCGATCGGATCAGTGACGCCGGCTGCGCAGCCGCCTGCCGCGCGGCCGCTCAGAGGTACAGCAGCCGGACAGCCGGGGGTTTGGAGATTTTGCATGCACGTTCGGCGCTCAGTAAAACGAGATCGAGCGTCATCCTGCATGCGGTCAGGTTTGTCAAACCGTACTGCAAACTGCGCAGTCCTAACCGCCGACTCTACAGTTCTGCTGTCCAAGATCGCATTTGAACATGAAGTGGCGCAGAGCAACTCAGAGCCAAAGCTTAATGTCTCCTTCTCTGGGCGGCAATAAGTTCTTTTCCTCGTTCTACACCCGTCTACAAGGTCTCTGCTTTGATACGAAGCTGCACCGTGCTTCATGAGTTGCGGCGCCAGCTTTGTCTGCATAGTCTTTCCAAAACAGTGATCTTCGAGAGCTGCAAAGGTGTCTTCTACTTTTGATCCTATTTGAAGCCTCATAATACACCTGCGAACCCGAAAAGGACCCCAGGGCTGATCCTTGCGTGGAATCATCCTTCACTTTCGCCCCGCGCACCTGCACCAAGGCTCCAGCTCATCTATAGGGTTTCACGAATAGCTCAATCAAGGTTGCTCTTAGAAACTGAAGGCTAGGCAGCTAGGTGTCATCATATCTTGGTGGCAGGGGCGCAGGGGGTGGGGGGATGCCCCCCTTTGATCTGCTCTCCCCTGGGGGTCCGCGAGAGGTGTGTTCTCGATGCCAGTGTTGGTGGTAAACTCAGCGATGACTGCTTGTTGATTGGATTTTTGTTATGTTGTTCCAGCGACCGGGGCACAAAGTGACTTGCTGTACCTGCGATGTAAGCTATCCAAACTAGAACAAGGGCAGAGTGTCGGGGTGTGCTGCTACTTTATCGCAGCATTGTCCAAAGCTTGTGTGTCTTAATCCATCAACGCACCCCAGGTTTTGGCCCAAGCACTTCAGCACCTACCATCGCTGTTATCTGCACCATCGCTGTTATCTGCACAAGGAAATGTCTGGAACATGGTTAGGTTGACCACTTGCAATGTCTCAAACCTTTGATTGGCCCGTCTCTTGTCCAGCTGTGGCGAAGGATATGTATGGAATGGGTGGTCGAGTGGCCGCTCCTGGTTGACCGGTGGAAGATCATCCTGGCTGGAGTCGTTTTCCAGGTGAGGAGCGCAGAGTTCTCCAACCACATGAAAATTGCATGGGATCCATCAATCGCGACCTGCTTTTAGATCGAAACCTTCCGGCTACATCATTGCTTATGTAACAATGGAAGATTCGAAGTGGTGGACTCGTGCTTTCGCAATTCCAAGCCCCATGCGACTCCACGCTGCCTTACCCCCCATAAAACTTCTTCTTCCGTGCTTTGCCCATCAAGATGAACGTTCATGACCCATGTTCAAGAAACCAATCAACTGTCGGGAGAGTTTGAAGCCTACGCAGAGCGTCCAGTTCTTTGTCACCGTCGAGTCACTGCTCAATTGCAATGCTGCCCTCCTTTCAGTACATGCACGGCATTGGCGCGCGCTTTGCCCACTATCTCCACCGCCCAGGCCCTCTCCTTCACGATGTCGGTTTTGAGCTGATCCCGGTGAGTGCCACCTGTCACTTTTGAAGCCGGTCAGTCGCGCATGCTCCACGTTTGCTGCGGGCAATCAGATGCAGGCTCAACGAAAGTTTACCAGTAGCTAGATCGGATTACTGACTGCGATTATTATCATGGAACAGCGAGAAGTTGCTTGTGGATCCAAGCTGGATGTTACTGACTGATGTAGTTCGGATTTCACACAAAGGCTGCCCGTTTAGGTGTCAAAGACAAACATATAATACCTCTTGTCGAGGTATTATGGTCCGAGATGCTCAAGCATGGACTGCAGCTGAGAAGCCAGAGCGCTTTGTCTGCAGGAGCTTGGAAAGAAGAACATCTACGTCAGCGAGACCGTCTTCAGCGGGTGGTTCGTCTTCTTTGTGCTGGTAAGTCGCGCATTAAGGCCCCTCTTTGGACTAGATGAAATATGCACTAAGCGCAAGTCCTGGTGTTATTGAGTCTTGCCTCCTTCCTCACAGCTTGGAGCCTAGCAGGGATCTGCACAAATGAGGATGCAACAAAGACTTTAAAGCACGCTTATCCTTTTCTCAGTGGACGTTCCACCCGTTCTTCCTGCCCAACAAGCGCTTCTACACCGTCTTCATCTGGCAGCGAGTGCTCACAGTCCTGGTGGTAAGCCCCTGCCAGATCCCTCTGTTTTTGTCAGGATTCAGATTTTTGTTTTTTTCCTTGGTTTAGGGTTTTCGGGTTTAGCGTTTTAGGGTTTCGCAAGTGTACAGCCAAAGCTCGAGCCAAAGTGTTGAAGGTGGGGGTGACGGGTTCAGGACGAGAATACGAGAGTGTCGTCTTGGAGAAGCTGCCAGATCTGATCTCGATTTTGGCCAGGAGCGTTTTAAAAGACATGAGCTGAATAACATGCGTTGACGATTTGGGCAACAAGGTACCGAGCCAGAACGGGTGTGACAATCGCTGCCTTTTTCGGGACAAGAAGCCAGCCGTTACTGTCCGGGACCTCGAGATGATTATTTGGTTGGCGCATCCATGATCCATCGGCAGAGTCCGAGTCTTCTAGTGGTTCTCAATGCAGAAACTCGGTCAAAATGGTCATGCTAGTCTGCCGTCCGGTCCAGAGGAGCGGTTCCCAGGGTCCTGTCACTCCTTGACTCTTGTGCTGTGTTTCCGCAGATTTGCCAGTGCCTGCGAATAGCCTCTTTCACCGCCACGCAACTCCCTGGACCAAACTACCACTGTCACGAGGTGAGTGCTCGCTGCTGTCTGATTCAAACATCAGTAAGTCCTTTCTCGGTGTGGTTGACAACAATGCATTCCATATCAACCAGGTGCCTTTCAAATTTCAAAGGTCACCGTTTGCCTTTGAGGGCGAAGGGATCGACCTCGGGGACACTTAAATCATGGCCCACTCGTCCTTTTACCTCGTGTCTTAGTGATTGGTTATCTTTATCTCGCCTGGTTCTGCCTTACGCTTGTTAGGCAGCAACTTGGGAAGCGGGTATCGATCTTGCGGAATCATTACGAAGGGTCATCGGGCAAACCTTTTCTGGCGGCTCAATGCCTCCGCTCCGCTGTGCTGACGTGTTGCTGACGTGTTGCTGACGTGCAGGGTTCGCCATGGGCCACTCTCCCGGTGCCCCACTCCTTCAAGGACCTCTTCTTCCTTAACAGTAAGCCCATGCCCCTTTATTTTCGCACCATTTCTATCGGACCGAGTCAGCGGAATATCGGAGTGCCAAGATTGCCTCGAGCATACCTCAAGCACTCTTCGAGGAAGTGCGTTGGTTCCGGATGCTCGGCGCTGCACTTTGGCACACAATCCGAAAGCATCCGGTCAACTCTTGACCGAAACGGCTGTACATCGCCTACCGACATTTTGCTTGTAACCTGGCGAGAGGTTCACGCAGCATCTCAAAATTCTCGCTGGGTCCGCTTACGATCAGATCGTGATGGCGGTTTCGCAGTTGCGCGCGCGGGCATGTTTGGCTGCGGCGACCTGATCTTCTCCTCGCACATGTCGTTCGCGCTCGTCTTTATGCTGACCTACAACAAGTACGGCACCACGCGGTGAGTAAGAAAGAAGACCCATCGTTTGTGCTTGTTCGTATCTTCTTTCGGAAGAAGCATTCTCCCTCGTATAGGCAGAAGCAGCCATGATCGTCAGTCGGAAGCTCGCTTCTAGCATTGCCCGTCAGAGCCCAGGTTTGATATCGAACGTGCAATCGAGCGCTTTTTTGGTTACCTGAAAATCGAAAGGCAGGCGGAAGAGGTATTGACCCCGAGGTTTTTTCGAGGAACTGACACGTGTCGCCCCGTGCAGGCTGATGAAGATGATTGGCTGGACGCTGGTCACGTGCCTGGGCCTGCTCATCATCGCCTCCAGGAAACACTACAGCGTCGATGTCGTTGTCGCAGCGTGAGCGCCGCCGTTCTCTTCGCCTACTGCATCTCTTCGTTATTTTCTCTGGTCGCCTCACTTAATAGTCCCTCTCGCTTCGCTTGACCCCGGACTTTGTTTGCTAGTACCCGACAGAATCGCTTCTGGTAACTCCTCTGGCACATCAAATCGCAATTGCTCCTTGCTGAGCTCTCTGCTGGTTACTTTCTCGCAGGTACGTAGTTCCGCTCGTGTTCATCGCAGTTGACAAGTACATCTCGGAAGCAGGTAAAGGCTTCTGGCGACGGAGCACCTTGCCTTTCACTGTTCCTTCTTCTGCGAGTCTGCGCTCTGGCAGCCCCTCGAAGGAATGAATCGAGGTCTTCTCTGGTTCAGACGTTTTGCATCATTTTTCGTCCTTTGCTGAGCATCATGCTGACTTGGATTTATTCTTTGGATCTGGCAGTGGGTGACCTCTTTTCGCCCTTAAAGAACGTCGAGCTATACAATAAAATCTTGCGTGCTTGTTGGCAAGTTGCCTCTGTATCGGTCTCCGTTCTCCCTGCTCATTGTGTCCTTCCTTCGCTGGGAAGTTCTCTCTCACGCTTCCTGTTACTTGCTTTCTTTTTTGCGCATTCATTGCTTAAAAAGCCTCAAATGTAAGCTCGTCATTGGTGCAGTCTGTCATGACTGGGTAGGTCCATTTGGCTGAGCGCTTGTAGCAAGTGATAAATTAGAACCTCCGCCACAGCAACGGCCGTTATTGCTTTCCCTTTTCTCCAGGTTGGTCAGAAAACCAGACTCGTCCCGTTTCGCTTTCTTCTCTTCGGCGAAAGTCTTCCCTGTATGCCGCCCTAACATGACTCGCTTGGTCAGCAAGAAACCGGTTTTCTAAAACCGATCCATTTTCTCGACGCTGTTATTCTACCAGGTACTCGCGCCTTTCCTTTCAGGCCGCCCGTTCTCTCTAGCGGGGGTGTCGGGTGCGCCTGCCTAAACGGCGTTTCTCACCCCCCCATAGAGCCCCCGTTTCTGAACGGGGTGTCCGTTAGCCCCGTAGAAACTACCCCTGTCGCCGGAAACGGATTGAGTTCTTACACTGACACTGACGAAGAGTTAGCCATGCGGTGCCTGTTGTATGCTCTACTAACTTTAGGGAAGAAGAACGGACACAAGAAAGGGGGGTTCGCGGTCAAGTCGAGGAAGCGCCGCCGGGGCCGGTTGATAGGTCGGTGAATGATCCTGGGATTGTTTTGTGGTGTGCTACTCAAGTCTTGGAGGTTGGGACGTGAAAAGCAGGGTTGGGGATGAGCTTAGAACAAACGCGGGGAGACATGGGCATGTACTTTCTTAGCGATGTGGGCAATCCGGTCATAAGATCTTCTCAACAATGATAAGAGGAACTGAGGGAGAGCTAAATCTGGGCGGTTGATCTCTGGTTCTGAATTGATTTGTCAGTGCTCCGACTGCGTTTCGGAAGGCGTGATTGTTTGTGGACAAAGAGCGCTCCGACGAACGCATGTTCGATGACGAGCCTCTCTGAACGCGTCCCCTTGCCTGTGGGCATTTGAGTACCTCCCTTGGAGTGTGTCGGATTGCATTTTCCCCCGTGGCTGCCGTTTCAATTGCGCCAAACTGGCCCCTTTAACTCTTAACTTTAACCCGGTAACTTTTACTCCCACCTCGCCCAGTTTCGCCCATTCATGCCTTCTTTCACCACGTCGTCCTTTCACCGCCTTCCGATTGCTGTCGCTTTCGGCTCCTGATCACGATTCGCAGAATAAGTGCAACTTTTGGTACACCCTTCTTTGGCAATGACAAGAGCCCCTGGCTGAGGTGTTTTGTCTCAGTCAGTCTTCTGCTCGGAGGCCAGTGGTCAATCTGCCGCTCGGATAGCATTGATATGGCAGAGCCCCTTGTTATCTTTGCGTTGTTACACCCGCTTGGAAAGTGCCTCACTCATTGTCACCCCGCAGCGTTTCCGACACCTGGATATCTTCGACTGTTGCTCGTTTTTGAGCATTTCACATGATTGTTCTTCCACTCAAGTCGCCGTTCCCCAGTCTCTTCCTTCGCACGCTCTTAAGGTCTACTTCTACTGTGCTTCCTGCGCTCTTGTTCCCTACTTCTGTCCTCGTTTTATGGGCCCCCTCGCAGAGATCCACCGGTCCTGCTCAGCGGAGCCCCACTGATGCTTTCCTCCTTTACGCCTCCGTGCAGAGATTGACCGGTCTGCTCTGCCGAGCCCCGCTCAGGCGGGGTCGTTCCGCTTGGACAGCGACGACAAGCAGTTTCGCCAAGACTGGGACCTGGAGAAGAACGTCGTGGAGGGAGACTCCTACAAAGTGGAGTCGGTAGGTCTGTCGAGTCTTTTTCCCGTCTTCATCTACGTCCTTAAAAACGCGGAAAGGATTGTGGATTTTTTGCCTGTCAGCCAGTACTTGAAGTCTAGGGCACGTCTCTGCGCTTGGAGTTCCAAGAGTGGGACAGTTGGTAGTTTGTACTCAAAAGCACGAGCGGATGCTGCCGCCGAGTGGCCCTGTTTCTCGCAAAGACAATCATTATACGGACCCTGAAGTGACTCTGTAAGCAAGCCTTTTTGAACGACGCTTGCGTGCAAGTTGCGGTCACTGTCTGAGAAGAAAGCGGAAGCGATTGGTCCGCATATGTTTCTTGGTCAGTAGAGCTAGAAACTACTCTACTTACACTAGCGCGCCCCAAATACTGATTGTCTCCTTCGTTCAATAATGCATGCTCAAGCGAGTTCTTCACGCTTGTCTCTCAAGCTCAACCACCTGCCACCGCCCAGGTGCTTCTTAGCCAAAATCCCCTCGCTCTACTTACATTTTTTGCCTTACATGGTACCCATCGCCTGCGACTTTATTTTATGCAGCGGCAACGGATGCCAAACGGGAAGACGCTCCCGGACATCAAGGTTGGCAACCCCGCTGATTCGTCAAAAGTAACCCGAGCTACAGTCAAGGGCCCCCGACGTGACTCTGATGGGAGTCAAGGGTTTGCGGCGCCTAGCCATTTAGGTCGTACATCAAGCACGCATGATTTGGACTCTGGCAGGATAGCCTCCGATCGGCCTTGAACTTCGTTCAGTAAGACAGGTACTTCTATAAGTCTAAGTACCTATAGTCCTTGCTTTTGACGCTGATTACTAGCTCGCATATGCATAAAAAATGTTTTGTCAAAATTCCTGCGGTATATAAGGTAGAATCCAGCTTGTACACAGTCTGCTGTACTGCGAGCTTGATTTGCGAGTCAATCATTATATCGTCTGTGGTCTTGCATGCACTAAACATGGTCAATATGCGCGATCAGAGTCGAAGTTTTGGCCGTGCTCCTGTCGCTCTGCTACATACCACGATCTGAGGTATAGATATACGTGAAGCGACCCAGTTCATAATCATGAGTGACCATCTTGCAATCTCGAAGAGGAGAGCGCCGATTCTATTTCCTTGGCGGCTGTGATCGGAGCACAGCTCATGCATGTGACGATATTTCCAACCTTGTTTCGATCGGAACGGCGGCGCCGCCATATCAAGGTCTACATGAGGAGTTCGCTAACAAGAGCAAAGCTATATGCGTGATCCGTTCGCTTGTGGTTGGCGGCCTCGTCACTTTCAGCAAGATTACGTGTTGACCGGACAGTTCACCGAAGCTTCGACCAACGTTTCAATTGCTTTGCGTGAGCTGCTGGTACGCAAAAGCTTCTGCAATTTGCATGTTTGACCCGAAATCACCATCATGACAGTTTGTAAAGTTGGCGGGCTAGACTTCATTGCATGTGTCACTGTAGCGCACTCATGCTGACTTCAGGGTGGCACGAGCATCATCAGCTCTACATCCGCTCATGGGAGTGAACCAGAATCATTCCCGTTCTTGGACTTGTATAGAGCCTTCTAATCACAATTTAAGTGCAATGCAGATGGCAAGTCGGATCATTCGCAACCAACCGGTCTTAGTATGCCAACCGGCAGCCTCCGCGACAGTTGCCGTGAATTCGCTTACTTGCAAGCACTTCAAGAGCATTCCCGACTATGCCCTTGAGCCAATCTTTGAAGGCTCGCCGTCTACGTACATGGGATGGTCAAGGCGCTTTCATTCTTCAGAGGAACCGCACACAGCTGATCACTTGATAACCGCACACAGCTGATCACTTGATGTCGAGTTTGGCTTACGTTCGAACGCAGCAGTTGGAGCCGCATGCTTCAGAAAAGCGCCCTCAAAATTGACCGATTTGATTTGTCTTAGACCTGTCTTTGACAAGGTGCCAGCCCAATCATTGCAAGAGGGATTTGTCAGGTTTGCGGATGCTATCCCTTGTCGCGTGCAGTCCAAATGATGCGGTGTCTGTCGTGCAGGCAAGATGTACCGCCATGAATTGTACCCGTTCATCAACTTCCAATCGGCTTCAAACAGGAGCGCACACTCGTTCGAGGACACATCAGAGTTTCTTCAGGCCCTCAATGACATACAATGAACGTACTTGACGTGACGAAGGTTGGGAGAGCTATCTTACAGAGCCAAAACAGGACACACGTGGACAGTTGAGTCTTTGAGACGGAGATTGCACATGGGAACTTAGATTCTGCATACGATTAAAAACTGGTCAATGAGTGCCAATGACCTTGGGCAACTCAGATTGCCAAGGTCACGACAGAGCAAGGTTTACACGGCAAAACTACTGAAGGAAAGAGAACGGTTGTCTTCTGTAGTTGGTTTCAAACAAGAAGTCAGACTTCCTATTAGTGTGACAATCTTTCAACATTTCAAAAAGTCTCTTGTCGGAACATTCTCAATCTTCAAGGCTCCGGCATAAACCTCACCGGGTAAAGTTGCTCTGCTTGGTGTACCCATCTGAAAAGCATTGCGCTGAGGTTGAAACCACGTAGCCTTCTCCTCCACGGAGAATGAAAATGCACGGCTTTCCATGGATGGAGAGCCTATGACTCCGCTTGTGAAATGTGGCCACTTGCGCGTCATAGTGTAGTGCGTCGCTGCGCAGGCACTTCAAGAAGCACTAGCGCGTCCCAGCTGGCCTGTCCAACTACAAGACATCTGCCTCTCTTTGAGTTGCGGTTGTGCGCGGAACCGATTGCCTCGAAACAGTCTGAAAGCGTAGTTTCTAGCATCACCAGACGGGCCTTCCTTCTGAAAAGGCTGCTGGCTCATAGACATGAAAGGTAGTCCTTTTTTCCTCACGAGTGAGCCCTCCACAGACAGATTTGTACATTAAAAGGCAGAGTGTGAAGATTCTTCTACATGTCCTTTTCGCTCTCAAATGACTACTGCATAATTGCGCCCCAGAGAGTATTTTTGGCTTGCTTCTATGTTGCTGAAGACCGGGCAATGCTCCGCACAGCTGAACGGAGACTGCTGAGCTTAAGATGCTGGTGTCTAAACAATGAGCTCAACAGAAGGCTGTCCTGAAAAACTCAATTCCTCATTTTAATCATCTTTCGTCGTTGACGACGTCGTTCCCTTCACTACAGCTCTGCTTCCTGTGTAACTGCCACGCAGTGCTCGGAGCTTGCGCCGATCGCGCTGCATGCTTCTGTCAAAGTGTCTAATTGGCGGCGACATGCACGAAGCATCCGCAACAGCAATAAACGGTTCCCCGGACAAGTACCTGATGCAAGACATTCGGTGTAACTGTCGTGACGATACCAACCAACGGGAGAGTCTCGAACAAACCGGGCGAAGGACAAAAATATTTATTCTCTTCTTCGCCTCTGTTGGAAAGACCTGATTTACCTGAGGACATGTAGGAAGACTTCGCTCGATCTGCTTCAACTTCAGGGAGGCATACAGAAGGGAGATTCCACATGGCCTTGTTACATGCACAATCAGCAGAGACAAGGCTAGCACAATCTTTAACGGGTGGATCTATCGAAGGGGGCCGAAATGGCGCAGGCTTGCGGGGACGCGGGGACAGAGGGAGGGGATCCAGGCCCATCCACGGCAGCGTGCGCCATTCAAGCATGCACGAAGATCTGACGGCTAGAGCTGCATGAAGATGTGCTAAGATCTCAGCTTACTGCGAAGAACAATCTTCGGTAGCAGATCGAAGTTCAAGCTACAGTAAGCATGCACGAAGAACTGACAAGCTGAAGCTTCATCAGATTGGTCGAAAGGAACCGCGGGCGGCAGAGTCTTGTAGCAGCATCTGTACGAATAAAGCAACCGGGTGGTTCTTGTAGGGAAGTTATTGATGTTCACAGTGAAGAACAAAGGCTTGAGGGCCACAAAAGGGATAGGCCGGGGGGCTCGGGGGGGCGGCAGCCCCCCCGATCTTTAAAGGAACCAGGTGACTAGGCGGGAAGGGAACTAAGGGAGGAAGGGGGAGAAAGGGGGAGAGGTATAGATGAATGGTGGTTGTATATCTCCTCTGAAGAAGGAAAGATGGTGTTGAAACGCAGTGTGATGGACAACACCGAACGTTGTCGTAAGGGAGTCACTTGCGTGGGCCCGGCTAAAAGACTCGGGGCGGAAAAAGCAAACCCCAACGCAGCTTCCTATCAGGTTTGAACTGATGACCTTGCGCTGTCCTGGACGCCATGCTGACGAGCTCAGACTAAGCGCATGCTCAACCACTAAGCTAAGGAAGCCATTGATTCAGAGATGTGTGAAGTTGGCCGCGTCTGCAACGTTTATAAACAGTTGTTAGTTGGCCTGCAAACCCAATCTTAACAACGGGGGGGCTGCCGCCCCCCCGAACCCCCCTGCACCATGGCAGTCCAGTACTAGCAGCAGCCCGCGCCTTGAACTTCCCTCTTCCGAGTCTTCGCCAGAAAAGTCGTCTTTCATTCACATGGAGTCTCTTGCCTAGAAGAGGCGCTTTTCTTCTCAGTTGGTGAAAGGGCTTATCTACTGTACTGACAGTCTAGACCGAGCCAGAGGCGAGAACACATTTTAAATGTTGGTGATTTTCTGAAGACAACATCTTTGCACGAGGGCACTAATCAGTTTCTTGTGGACTGTTCATTCAGGGCAGATTGTGCGCGCAGGTTTGCAATTGACACAGAAAAGAAACCTTCAAGAGCAGCAAAAGAACTCCTTTTGAAGGGAGGTTTGGGGAGCTCTTGAGGTGCCACTATCCTTGTAAGGCCTTGATCAGGCAAGATGGTAAGCAAGCGCTGCTCTTTCTCGAGGTTAGCCGTTCCTATGAAAGCAAGTTTTTCCATGTCACTGTCAGCTCTACTTTTAAGCAGAATGTAAACTCAGAAGCAGCTTTCCTCTGGAAGAGCGCAGTGCTTTGCGAACTAGTTGTGCTCCATTGGGTCACTCTGGGACCTGCTTAAACAGAGTTAGGGTTTACGAGTCTTTACAGGCCGCAGTCCCATGGTGGCATTTCAGAAGTGAAATGAAATCTTCAGATGCTGTCTAGCACTGGCTGCAAATGGTTTTATTTAGCGGCTGTTGGAGACTAAAGCTGCTGCATTTTTGCGATGCAGACTGCGTTCGCTGCTGTGTTTCTCCGTTCCTTTCAGAACCAATGCGTGTCTTCCATTTTGAAGAATCTTTTGCCAGGGGCAGAGCAAGCTGCTGATTTGACGTGTTAAGATAACCGTTATAATCTTTTGAAATTGATAGACTTCCGTTCTACCGGCAGTTATTTCCAGTCTTTGTGGCAGGGTGCCAATTGACATCTTCTGGACGCTTGACACAATTATCTCCAGATATGAAGAGAATTGATCAAACAGAGACATGACGCTTACGCCAGCATTCTTAACCCCTGACTTCTGCGCCGCAGGGTGAGCGCAAGGTGCTCAATAAGTACTACCCGCCGGACTTCGATCCGGCGAAGCTCCCGCGGCGCAAGCGGCTCAAGAATGAGCAAATGAAAGTGCGCATGATGCTTCCAATGAGCATCCGCTGCGCGACGTGCGGGGAGTACATGTCCAAGGGGACCAAGTTCAACAGCAGAAAGGAGGACGTGCCAGAGGAAGCGTATCTGGGGCTCATGGTGTTTCGGTTCTACATCAAGTGCCAGCGGTGCGCTGCCGAGATGACGTTCAAGACGGACCCTCAGAACAATGATTACATCGTGGAGAACGGGGCCACGCGGAACTATGAGCCGTGGCGGGAGAAGGATCAGGTGCCGTTCTTGCAAAGACTTTGATTAGTATAAGATCTATGGCTTGAAGAAGTGGATCATTTGTTAATGCTGTCATCTTGCGGGAAATGACATTGACCTCGATGTGCCCTCCTCATTGGCAAAGATGATGGCACGCTGGACGAACAAATCAGATTTCTAAATACTTTAGGAACTGCCCATCAGTCTCCTGCTAGAGTATGTAAACATGTATGATCTGCTTTGGATGTGCTCTGAGCGGGCTAGAGATTGTAACGGTTTGCTAAGTTAGGTACCCAAAATCTGGATAGAAGCATGGTTTCCTCTGATGTGAAACGTTCGGCCATCGCTCGTGCCTATTCTTGGTAAAAGCTGGCCAATTGATTATTCAGTTTGTTCACGGTCAGCTCTCGTAAAGTGGTTGTGCTTCCCTCTGTGCGGCCGAAATCTTTTCCGAACCTGCTCACGTCTAAGATGATCTATGTGTCTCTTGTGTGACCAATCCATCATTCCTCTTGTATGAGCAATAATGTTGGAGAACGTAACCAAACGCTTCCACTCTCAGGCGGTTGCGGACGCGACGAAGAAGCGCGAGGAAGAGGAGGCTGGGAACGCGATGAAAGTGCTCGAGAACAAGACGTACGACAGCAAGGTCGAGATGGACATCCTCGCGGCGCTGGACGAGATGAAGTCCATCCGTTCGCGGCAGGCTACAGTGGACACAGACTCGATGTTGGAGGCGCTGAAACGGACGCAGCAAGATAGGGTGAGTGAGTCTGCCTCTGCTTCCCAAAAATGGACATTCGGAAAGTTCCGAGTGACCTAGGGTCTGAATGTTCAGGCATTTCTTCTTACCAGAAGGACGTTCACGGTTTGACAGACCGCTGCGGAGACGGATATGGGTACCGAATGGGAAGGCAGATATTTTCGGTGCCGTTCTCAAGTGAGCCGCTCACGGCGAGCTGTGATGGACACTGTAGCTACGTTCGAGAGGCCGAGAGGTTGCACTGAAGACAGGGTCGGGAACGATGAAATCTGAAGCAAGGCTTCAAGGATGTATGGATTCTGGGTTCCGGGATGTTACTGTTCCGAATCACTCCAGCATTCAAAACGATACGAAGGGTCGCATTAGAAGAGGACAGGAAAGGCCACTTTTCCTGCCTCGAGTTGCTGCTTCTGTGAGCAGGGGTGCTTTTCAGGATGATCGAGCACCTCTTGCTCACTCGGTTCCGCCGGAATGGCGGCGGGGTCGTCTCAGCCGCTTCTAACAACATCAAGGGAGGGTTAAATTTGAACCGAATTATTATGCGCGTGTTGATTGTTCACGGACGGACAATTGTTACGCCCTCGAGCACAAGGCTCAGCTGTCAGCAGGAATCCACGTCTTATTCCTCTGGGAAGAGCCTGAATGTAGACCACAGTAAGTTCTTTCAACTCTCGTTTGGATTGAGAGTTTTCATAGATAATCAGAAGATTCTGACGGTTTGTTTTGGTCTTGTCCTGACAGGAGCGGGAACTTGACGAGGAGGACGAGAAGCTGATCAGAACGGTGTTCCAGGTGCGCTGTTGATTTGTCATGCTGTGCCACTGTTTAGCTATGCAAGAAACTCGTCAGCAGCTCCTTGCACAAGCTTTCTGCGTAGAGCTCGTTACATCTGGAACCTTTTGACATCTGATGACATCATGTTCTGTAAGGAGCTCTTTCTTGGCCAAGAAACTACCGTGCCTATTCACCTCCTGGCGTCCTTCAAAGGAGGCTTTGAGGCGCCTGCGAATGTGAACAAGACTTCGATCATCTAAAGCGAGATATGAGAAGGCGCTGTTAGGAATATCTCATGGAGCCGCATCGCAGCCAGTTTTCGCCCCTCGCCTCTGCCTTTCTAGTCTACACACCGTTATGCATTTCAAAAGCCGAGCATATGACCCTGGACGACTGCTTCGTCTTCATCCTACTAACCTGCACCATTCGCTGACGTCATCAGAATGGTGGCGGCAACTTCGTCCGGCGGATAGAGGACGAGGAGGCGCCAACAGAGCCGAACCGGACGCCGGGCGGGGGCGCGAAAAGGCGCCGAGAAGCGGACCCCCTCGTGACGACAGCTGCTGCTGCGGAGATGCAGGCTGACGTGGCGCCAGAAGGTAAAGCCTTGCTTTCGGATCGAAGGTCCGCTTCAAGATCGGCGTTGAGACATCCTTGATTCGGCGGCCTAAGCTTGAGACCCCCCCTTCATCGTCGCCCCAACACCCTTTGGCGGCAGCGTTGCGGGGTCCGTACCTGTAGTCTTTGTGCCGTCGGAAGCCGCCTGAAGCGGATGCTTTCACGTACACTTGTTCCTAAGCGCAGAGTCAGAAAGATCGCTGCCCTTGAGTCGCGCTTTTCGGGACTTTCGGTTTTTGCATCTGCAACCGTGACCTTTGATTCGTCGAGATCTGAGGTGCGCGGTCACCGTCATCGGTGCAGTCTGTTCGGGGGGCGGTATCGCATCTTCAGGCTTTGAATCTTCAAATAAGTCTCGCCATGATTTCTCATCCCGGGTCCACCATCAACGGGACCTGTCTTCTTACGGTCACTGTCCGCTCTTCTTTGCAGCCAACGCTGCGCCAGACGGAGCGGCGCCCGGGCCAAGCGCACCCCCCAAGACAAGTGGCGGAACAGGGCCTAGTTTCGCTTTCAGACCAAAAGCGGTAACCTTCGTCGCCAAGCCCAGAGCTGCGGGGGCCGCACCAAGGTTGCAAGCCAGGGGAAATTCGACATCGAATGGAAGTAGTATACAAAGCACGGCAGCAGGTGTAGGCCCGCCACCACCAAGTGGAAGTGGAGCAGCCACGGGTTTGTCGTCTTTGGCGGCTGCTTACTCTGATAGCGAAGAAGACTAGGAAGTGACTGGTTTGAAGAGTCGGGTTCAGACGGAGTGACGTTTGTGGCGGATCGCCAAGCGCATGATAATTGGCGCTTTCATGGTTATCGATCATCGTTCTGGCAGTCTGCCGTATTGCATACCTAGTTTAAAGCACGCTGTGACGAATGTTGAAGTGGTGTTGTCCCGAGCCTTCCAAAGATCGAAGTCCGAATGCAACCATGACCTAATCGGGCCACGTTCAAGTCTTTAAGTACGGTCGTCGGAGCTGTCTGGTCATGATTGCCACGAGACTTACACATACTACGACCGCAAAAAGCACATGTTTTTCCTTCTTGAGTTGAAGTCCATTGCTGCCAGGTTGTTTATGAAAATGGATCTGACGTACTAGTCGACGTCAAGCGTGACCTTCAGATATGCGAGTGCATCTCTGGATCCAAGATATCTTTCATAGCGTGTGGACGTACGCGTAAGCAAGCTAGCTAGGCGCCTATAATCCATCATTGAATCCAATCTCGAATGAAGTCGTGGTTCAATATCATATCTAAAGCTGTGATCGAGCGAGAAACACCATGATCTTATATGCTCGATTCTCCATATTGCTGCACTGCGGCATGCTCATGTGGCTCATGTGGCTCATGCTCCTGCGGCATGCTCATGTTGGTGAATAATCGTTTATTCGCCAAGCTTCTGCGCGTACGTCTGGTGAGTACCAAGTTCCCAAGCTCTAACATGCGCAAAGACATTCTATAGCACTAGAAACCATACAATAGTCATGTGCGCGCAGAAACATCTAGCTTTAAAAACCGTAGACATGCGTATGAGTTGCAAGCAATCGGCAAAGCTGACGCGGCCGCCCGGCATTGGTGGAGCAGTTAATCTAGGCTGCCAGGCAGATGTGTATTAAACTCTAAAGACATGTAGATTTAGATGGTCAGTAACAAGCCTATAACAAGCTTGTACGCGAGCTCGTACAGACCTTGACCATCGAATATTGATACGTGTCACCGGGTCGGGCCAAATGCTGTCAGAGTCATCGTTTGCCGTACCCACGCAATCGGAAACCAAAAGATCTTTGCATCTTGATACAAGTTGACCGTCCGATCCTCCTGATGTCGTTGTCGAGTTCACGTATCCATGAAAATGTCTCCAGGTTTATTGCTTGCCAGCCAAAGATCATCCTTCCCAATGTAGAACGTCCTTTCAATGTAGAACGTCGCTTGAGGAGTTTTTCAGATCATGTGTTGATAACAAGCTACAAAAGTCCACCAGCAGTCAACGAGATGGGTGGTTCTAAGTTGCTTCTTCACGATAAATCCTTTTTGTCTACTGGCTTCTTAGGTTCTTTCGATGTGCATGGCTTTTCTCCTTTGCATACGCTTTTATGACCTGCTTTCCAGGCGCTCTTCTGGCACTCTGCAATAAAAGGTAAAGGACGTAGATTGAGGCCTGTTTGAATGCTGACCCTGGCTGCAGGACCAGCTTCTAAACTAAGGCCATGCATCTCTCTCGCGGCAAGTGTCGAGACAACAACTTCGACGATCTGGCAATGGCTGTACGAGTGTGATTCAGGAAGACGTAACGAACGAAGCGTGGAGAGATCAATCAAAGCACAAAGAGAAGAGTGCGAACATTGAAAGAAAGCAGGCAGTGACGCCATACCAGAACATGCCGTGAGGTTTTGGTAGCTCCCTACTGAACGTCAGCAAGTCAGCTGAGTATGTACGAGATCTGTACGGTCGACCTAAAGGGCCTGAGAGAACATTCTTATCACTAAGAAAGACGGCAATCTGTACTCGAAGGCAGTTCGCCGATGGAAAATATAATCTTAAAAGCCACAGCCAACCATCCACGAAACCTCAAGCTCAAAACTTCGCGACAAAGACGTTGAGGTTCAAAACTTCGCACCAAGGACGCATTGAACATTCTCAAGCTCAACCTATGCACCTATGCTCAATCAGAGCGGCCTTTGGATATTACCTCTGCAGCAGTACACAGCGAGCCGGCAGGCCGCACACACCCGGAACTCCCCTGGGCTGGTCTCCGCCTTTTCACACCCTGGTGCTGAACATTTCCTCTCTCTTGTTGTTCCCGCCACCTGGAGACCACTCTTCCGTGATCTTTTCAAGACGATTGACCTCGTCGAATTCGAAGCGTCAGCATTATTTCGAAAGTAAACGGCCCACTTTCCTCCTGCCGAGAAAAGATTCCTCGGAGTTGCTCTGCTCTCTTCTGCGCTGCCGGATCTTTCAGAGCCTCCTTTTCTATCTCTGCTCGCAGCTTTTGTAAGTCCCAGACACCGCTAGGGTCAGTGACCAGGGGAAGAGCAGGTCCCAAACAGGCAGCAATCTTCAGCATGAGCAGATGGTCTCCACCAGAGCTTAGTTGCTCAGGACAGAGCGCCAGGGCAAGAACTGCAGATTTAAGTGCAGCGGAACTAGATCGAAACCCTAAGGGCCACGGCTTTGGGGCAATGGTCTGGCCTTCGGCTAGCTTCCGAAGAAGCTCTATCGTCCATAAGATTGGAATCTTGTCGTTGGAGACTAAGAGTAACTTGGCTGCAAACTGCAAAGAATCCGCTTCCAGTAAAGCTAGCGAAGCTTTGTCGGCGAACGGCTGAAGAGTGTGCACCAGGCATGCTGCACAATCGAGGACGTCCAATCTCGAGTATCCTTGCGTTCCACCCAAAAGGTCCATCGTTGCAGCGTGCTGCATCACAGCAGAGAGAAACTTGGTGTCTTGGCCAAGGTTCTTGCAGATCGTGTTGCTGGCCATGCAGATTTCTGGCAGGTTGGAGATCAGTGCGTCCATTATCTGGTCCTTCATGAACTCAAGGTTTCGGTCCGTGCATGCGTGAGCTCTTCGGAAAATGGCCTTCAGAAAGTGCAGGAGGCGGGGCGAATGCTTCGTCATGTATCTGATTGTGCGCGCATCGGCCGCAAGCGCTAGGAACGCCGTCAGGTACACCGAGGGCTTCCAGAGAACAGGAATGTCGCCTTTGAAACGCCTTCTGTCTTTTGCCCTTGGAAGCACCACCCAGGATCCCGAGACGCATTCTTCCAGCCCTGTTGTTATGACCTTCAAGAAGCCTCTTTCCAGTATGAATGCAGCCACGTGGGCCAGGCTACCTGTGGATTCCGCAACGTAGCTGTGGATTATGGTATCCTTGAAACGTCTGACTGCCGTGACTCTTGTTATCTCGTCTTCTGATTGCGCCTCCGCCAAGATGCTCTGGAGCACCTCCGATTCCTCAGGCTTGAGCAGGTCGATTTCGCCCCACTGTCGAGGAAACGGGGCATCGGCCATGCCGTCAACCCCCTGCTTGTCCACGATCGAGCACCCCGGATTTTATGAACGCTAAATCATCCTCTCCGTTCTCCAATCCTTTCTTTTCCGCGCCTTGTCTTCTGACACCAAGTCGAACTCTTGCTGGTGCTTTTCTCAAACAGAAGCGCTACCTTCTTTGGGGAAAAACTGAAGCTTACGTCATTCGCGTAGTATGATGCAGGCCAGCCTCCACAGTCTTGGTCGAGCTCATCATCGGGTCTTGATGTTACGTACATTTTTCCTTCTCCGCAATCTTTTCCAGAGACGAGACTGCGTTGCGCTAGTCGCTGATTAGCAAGCTTGCATGCATGCAGCTTTGATCCTTTCGAGATCGCAAAGTTGGCCAAGTAGTGATGCGCCTGACTGAGAAGGGCTGATAAGGCTGCTGGCCGATCATGCTTCTGGCAAGCAGATAGACAGAGACAGATGTTCAAGACAGTAGGAAGTATCGGTTGTCCCAATGCCAGTGGCGCAAAGATAATTATCATTTTGGAAGGGGTCGGATGGCAGTTGCTGATCTGGCAGCAAGGTCGACCAGAGCATGCTAGGGATACCGTACACTCTTAACAGCAGCATAAGATGGTGCCAGCCAACTAATTCCAATAGCTAGCGCAGGCGCACGCATCTCATGTACTCTCATCTTTGACCACCTTCTTCAAGATACCAGCAACATTGCGTGGTTCTCATTTAGTCTCTTGACTCAATGCTCCTTGATCGTTCTGCCAGATCGGTCACGGCTCAGCAACATTGCCCTAACTTCGCGACCATTAATCATGTCGAGTCATGCAATTGGCAAGCTCTTCCACCACTATTCAGGAGCTACCAACTTGAGTCATGCTTCATCTCACTCAAACTGTACGGGCCCATCATTGTCAACAACTGTGTGTGCTACTGTACAATAAGCTGCATGGCATGCCTGCCGTTATGAGTCGCCGCAGATGCCACGCCGCGCGTATTCGGCAGAGAAGAAAGAACGTCGGTGCACGTCGAGCGCAGATTCGACATGCCACTGAGAGTACAGTGCCGGGCATGAGTAATCGAACCGGAAGATGATACCCACTGCAATTGCAGGTGCCAGTGAACATCATCGTCCATGTATGCTTCAACCAAAAGATGGTTGCAATAACTTTGCATGAAGAATCATGCATTACAATGTCTAACAAGCTGGCCGCCATAGTTGCCGTACGTCCCACGGTCTAGCAGTCTATAATAGGAAGGGAAGGTAGTCAATGGATACCTCCAAGGGTGAGCAATACAGATCGAGTAAGTGGCTGCGTTGTCGGAGCTTGCTCTGCCTTTGCATAGCGCGTGCGTCAACCAGATTCGCTTTACCGCTGCTGTCTCCTTATTGCAGTGCTGTAGTCAACCCGTTTGTCGTGTGCTATAATCAATCAGTTTGGAGTCTTTTCTTCGATGAAGTAGAAGCTAGAACAACGCACAGTCTGCTGTCATCTTCTTTCGACATATACAGCCCAGCTGTACTTGGGGACGACAAAAGTTCCCGAATCGGAGTTCCATGACGCCGACTCGAGCACAGGGTCGTTGGACTCGGCCTGCAGAGCGAAAGAAGCAGGCTGAGCTCGCATGTTTCAATCAAGCTTCTTCAGGAAAATAGTTCCTCACGAGAAAGCTATAACTGGGCACTGGCGCGCGGACTGTACGACGGCTTTGGAGTTCGGAGTGAGGACAGAGTCTTACGAGAGAGGGTGTCTGATAGAAAGACCACAATCTGTCATTATAATAGCGAAGCATCAATACGGGCAATTGAAGCGCGCAAGCTGCGCTGCAATCAATCCGGTAGTGCTAGAAAGGCGCGATCAGCGCTGCAAAAAAGCATGCAAGACGCAAGCAATCTCCGAACCACAGTTTTGCCGAGGTGGCCGAGGCCGCTTTACCCACACTATATGGGACCCTAGAGTGTTCCACAGTTCTGAGAGCGAGTGTCACGTACCTGAGTGGGATGCAACCGGAAAGCGTGTCCTTGCAAACCCTCAATCTGCTTCTCATACGCGTCGGCAGACGCGTTGAAGACCAGCAAAGCATGCTTGAAGCTGCACGAACGAGTCACAGCGTTAATGACACCTTTCGTTGTCACAGAACAGAAGATGTGTCGTGGGTCTTGGGAGTGCGAAACGTCGAAAACGGTCTCTATTGCAAATACAATTTCCTTCCTGCTTTCCGCTTCTTCAAGCGCGAGTTTCAGTACAAACGCCAGTAACCAGCGACAGAGTTGGGACCCCTCTCATTTCCCAGAGCAAGGGAAGGAAAGCACGCCTTGCTGAACAACGAAAAGCACTCAAAAGGAGTGGAAAGCAACTTTTAGGCCCAAAGCATTCGACTTCAACGCTGAGCGGCCCACTTACTTGTCGCAGACCGGCTCCGAGTCCCCGCCGTTGATGCCCATGACAATCACGCCGGGGGTGGCGCTTGGACCGCAGTCGTAGAAGGTGACGCGTTCCTGTTGAGACGAGTTTGATAGTTTGTGTTGGGATTGAGAAAAGCAGACTCGTTTGAAGATTGCAGTTGTGAATCCCTAGCAAGCTTCGCAGGCAAGGAACGATTGGAGGAGCGGTGTTACTGAACTCACTGCAGATTGGTATCGCAATCGTTGAGTGAACCTTAAACAGGAGCTGAAGGTGAAACGCACCCTCTCGGAAAGAACCAGTTCTTCTCGAGTAGAATCCACGCTTTGAACCCTGGATCCTAAAAGGTCAGCTTTTCGAAGGTGGGTGAAAGCAAAGATTTGAGAAGCCTGCCACTTACTTGGATCGCTGCTGCGGAGCCAAGACGGAACAGCGGGGAAGAGTATCGGACGGCCAGCAGGTTGCGCAGGTTGGATCGTGCGGCCAGGATGTGCTCCTTGGTGGGCTTGAGGGAGGGGTCAGCGAGCAACGGCCGCATGCTGGCAAGATAACAGCGAGACTTGATATTCAAAATAGAGACTCAATTTTGAACCAAAGCGTACAGACTAGCGCCTCTTTCTCTGCATGTTAGGTGGACGGAGTCATGTATCGGGTCGACTTCGGCAAAGCGGGGGTGAGGGAGCAACCGTGACTCGGCCGCAGCTCACTTTACTGGCACTAAAGATAGCGGACGTGCGCTCCATAATGACAGCGGATTTTGCGCCTTGTCCACAGAAGACGATACGTCAATGGAGACGACTTTCAGAAACTTGGAATTGCTCAGAGTCCTTCTTCCCGTCTTCCTCTGGCCGGTCTGAAAAAGAAGGGATAAGCGAAGTATCGATTTCAATAATATGATAAATCAGGCCTCTGATGCCGCGCTCTTCTTCCTGGTTTTCTGCAGACAGAACGCGACGGAAACCGAGTGCAAGCCACTCACATGTCCCACTTCTCGCCGTTCTTCTCTCTCGGAGGCAGGCCTACGCCAAAGTTGTTACTCTCGTACGACCAGTCAAGGCGGTTGAACCAGTCGCCGGAGTTGTAACTGTCACGATCCAAGGACTTAGAGCGGAGGGTGTCGTCGCCGGCATGGAAGAAAGGGATGCCCTGGACGGAAGCAGAGGGGAAAAATGACGGTTGCGTAGTATTGCTTCACAACGGCTTGAGTGAACCAAAGCCGGATGAATCAAGGAATATCTTTGAACCTGTTTCCAATCGGCGGGCTTCTTCATATCACTGTAGAGTACTTTTGATGGGCCCCATTTCGGATGTGTCTGCTTGGACAGATGTAAATGCGTCCTGAGCACAAAGCTCGATTCACGGTAGTCCGGTTGCCTGCGGTGACGATGGGCCTGGCGGCTTTCGGGAGCCTTACGTCCAAGAAGCGTAGCGACCTTTCTTGTGTCTGGGTAGCTCTAAATAAATTGCTAAATGATAAGCAAAGGTCTGGGGGCCATTCGACCACTTATAACTTGATGACGTGACTGCAGACTGACGCCTCGGCGCAGTCGGAAACGGCTCGCGCGACATCACTGATGACGTGCTACGTGAGTCACCACTGCACTCAGTCAAAGTGCCCATTCACATTACCCCGGGGCCCTCACCTGGGAGAGTGCAATGATGCTGGTTGCTAGGTGGTTCAGTCGCAGGCGCTCGTCCAGCGTCACTCCCCGCGCGACCTTGAGCATGATGATGTCAAACAGCGTCTCGTTGTCGTGTGCGGATGCGTAGTTGATCTTGCAGAGAGAGAGAGAAAGCTGTCAAGAGATGCAATTGTTATATCAATTGCCGGCAGATCGACCACGGTCGAATTCTGGGACAGTGGAGAAGGGCAGAAAGATGCGTAGAAGAGGCGTTGGGAGGCCAGATATTGTTTTCTCTCGGCCCCCTCTCTCTAATGTGGAGTTTTCTGGAGCCAAGCAAATCGTTATAGTCCTCTTCTGACCAGCCAACAGTGATTCGTAGCTCGTAAGTACTGCCTCAAACCGGAACCTGGTGCCGTTCACGCAGAGAAAGCGAGCGGAGGGGAAGAAAAAGAGAGACAAAAACCTTGCCAATCGTACAAAAAATGGTGTAATAACATGTTTGTGTTGACATCAGTCGAGCGCCGGCCTCACCACTTCGTCTGGGCTCGCCGTGTATCCGACGGGGTCCCCTCCGTTGCCAAATACCTGATCGCCACGTTTCTGCAACACAGGTAATTGAGATCAATCATTGTCACCTTGTGCCGCTGTGGCCGAAGCCTTGTACAAAAATCAGGAGGAAAGAAAGATATGTGGAAATACGTTTGGATGATGGACAGGCAACGACATCCCGCTTCCATGGTTGCGACGAAGCGAGAGTGACGTTGGTCTACGTCAGACTGCGGGGTGGGGTTTCAGGACCGCCGGATCTCAACATCAAGCTGGCCCCTTGTGCATTCAGAATAATACGGACTGGTTGCGGACGTCCGTTGCTTTCCGCGAACGCACGGAACAATTGGCGGACGGTTATGTAAATGTGCGGACATCCCTCCGAACAGGCAGATTACTATAGGCTCCGCGGACGTTCGGGGTGATCTCAGAGGGGCAACAGAACTTTGCGGGCGTCCTCATACTGCCAGCCCCTCACCTCTTCTCCCGTGTAGGACGTGAACGAGTAGCTCGCCAAATTGCCCACCAGACCGACCTGCGGAGCGTGCTCGACCACGTAAGCATGACGTCAGCAGAGCTGCGCTTTGCCAGTACTCTCCTTGACGTGTTTGAAACTCGCTTGAACTTGAAAGCCCAAAAGCCCTTTGAGCTGTTTGTTTGTGACAAAGGGCAGTGACTTTGTTGCTTCAAAACCACTAATCCTTGCCGCACAAATTTCCGCTCATTTTTTACTGCTCTCCTGATGTTTCTGAAGAAACTTGCTCCATAGCGTGTATGCCCGCTTCCTCTCCTTCCAAGCCCAATCAACGGTCTTGAGTACTCAAACAATCAAATGTCAGTCTTCTTTCCTCGTTGCGCCTATTGACTCGCTAACGTTAAACCCTACCTTCAAGTGGGTAAGAAGAATTTCTGATGCACGAAAAGCTTGCTTCTGGCAAATCCCCCACCTTGATCCAGTCCGTCTGCGACTGGAGCCCCTCCCGCTGCCCATCCGCGCTCCCCTGATCAAGCTCATTTGGCTGCATAACGTCAGCGTGACGTCAGCAAAGCCAGCCGAGCGTTTTCACGCAGCTCTGCACGGGGCTGTTGGGCTCGTGGATAAAGCGAGGGCCGGCATCAAAGGAATCGGGCGAGCACAACAGGACAGCCCCAAAATATGCTACCCTCGCTGAAATTGTGGTTATTTATTTCATTCACTTTGTTAGATGGATTTTCGGAACACAAATACCCTCTGTCGACGGGCAGCGGATCCACGGAACTCTCAAAAGGAGGCCTGATCTTATTGATCTGCTTTCAGAAGGCTCACTCGCAGGTAGAGCCCCGTCAAGTAGCCCTGCGCCTGGATGTCGCCGAACGGCGAACCGCCCATGATACCATCTCGTATCCGGTCGTTGAAGCTGCAGAAGAAGGACATTCAGACTCAGCCTCCGTGAACTTGAACCCCGAGAATATGAGAAATGTTCAATTCATTCTTATGCACCAGGCAAGGAGGACAGGCGACGCCTTTGCCTCAGCAAGCAATGACAAAAAATGGTCTCACCCATCGGACTAGGGTAAGAAACGGTCGTCTGCATTATATGGGGTCTGGCTAATCAAAGCGTGGACCCTCCCACAAGGCTGACTAGCTCATACGAGAACAGCGACTCCGTAGTCTACTCGAGGCGGGAGGCCTCTCTTACAGATACTTCATATTACTTCTCTTACAATCACTTCATATTACTCCCTTCTACAAGTTACTGCTCGGCTCTTTCCGCCATGTTTCCAAAGGTAACGACTTGGAGCAACGCATTTCGATTATGGACCCTCAGCGTATGTTCTGAAAGCAATCCAAAGAAGTCTCACCTCCCAATGCCCGTCCCGGCCAAATTGAGCTGCGCAGCATTGACGCCCCGGCTGTTTCCCGCCACCTCCCCGAAGTTCCACCCTTCGCCGTACAGGTAAATATTTGCCCCATCGACTCCGTCTTTCTCGGCGGTCAAGCTCCGCAGCGCGTCACGTGCCCGGAGCATCGTGTCCTTCATGATGTGGCCCATCAGGTCGAAGCGGAATCCGTCCACCTAAACGGAACGGAGCACATGCGTTATGAAACTAGACACAATCCGGGCTTTGAAAGCCTGTATGTGAGACTTTTGGGGTGTAGCAGTCCGACCCGACCGTACGAATAGGCAGAAAAACGATTGCAATCCACGGAGTTTGAAAGCGGTTGGGACAAAGCTTGGCAACAGACGGCGCCGTTCTGATGCATTCAGAGGGCCTTCGGGACGCGTTTGGACGCCTTATGGATGCCATTGAACCTCAATAGGACCGTATTCGGACGGTTGTTGGACGGTTTCGGACGGTTCGGTCGCGGTTGGACACGTTACAGCGGCTTTGGGCTACGTTCGGACGGTATTCGGACGCAGTTGGACTCTTTCCGGGTGAATTTGGATTACGTTCCGACGGTATTTGCACGCCTTCGGACATTTTTCGGGGGTTTCAGGATACGTTCGGACGGCTTGTGGACGCGCGCCCCTCACCTTATACTGCGTGGCCCAGTGCAGCAGGTCGTCCACGATGAAGCGTCCGAACATGTAGTGCTCGCTCGCGGTGTTGTTCATGCACGTGCTGTTCTCGATCTGGCCGTCCAGGTTGCGCCGCACGTAGTAGCCGGGAACGATCTAAGGAACAACATAAAAGGTGTTGCTCAAATCAGCAACTGTAGTCTTAATCCTGTTGAAAACAAAGACAGCAGCACTTGTTCGTCCTGGTGATACATAGTTGGTTGATCTGAGTGCGATTGCTTACCATAAGGAATGCAAGAAAAGCAAGGTCTTGCACCCTCATGACGACGATAGTAGTGGTTGCGCTTGCATCTTACAGGTAATTGCAAACGGTGACTGTCTCATTTCTGCCAGCGGCAAGACAAGCAGGAGAGACGTTTTTCGGAGGAGGAAAGCATCGACTAGAATAGGGCACAAAAAGGACGACACGCGCTGCATACCTTGTCGAAGTTTGATTGCACGCTCTCGGGCCCGGTGGAGAACACGTGGTTGTAGACGACGTCCAAAACGACTCGCAGCCCCAGCCGGTTGATGCCCTGAGAGAAGCACCAGGCACTGGAGCTGATCAGAATGCGGATGAGGCCTGAGCGTAGCTCGACTAGCCCACCAGCGCTTTCATCTGAAGCCCGACCGTCGTGGAAAGCAGCGACGCACTCAAGTTTAGCAAAAGATATCCATCCTTGCCCTGAAGCAAGAAGCATCTGTGGCATAAGAAGACGAGATTGGAAAGCGGAGACTCGACTTGAGGACTTCTAAACCGCCCTTGAATAACGGCTTAGACGCTCGGAGAGGGTACACATTCTTCTCAGATGCTGCGAGACATTCTTTCGCCTTCAAGTCGCACATCTTTTCCAAATGTAGAGGAGGCCCAGCAGAAGAGGCAAAAGCAGGGCTTAATACAAGAGCAAAACCAGGGGGTCTTCCCCCCGAAGGTTACGGTGCCAACTTGGGATGGATACCGCATTCTGCGCAAGCGTGAAGATATAGCACAGGGAACTGCATTCGTGGACCCACCTGTACCATCTTTCTGAACTCCAAGATCCTGGCCGTGCCGTCCGGATCGGACGCGTAGCTGCCGTCCGGCACGCCGTAGTGGACCGGGTCATACCTGCAAGTGTCATCGAGAGCCAGGGTTATGGAATCTCGTTAAAATAACGAGGATACGCGTCTGCTGTCCGGCACGCCGTAGTGGACCGGGTCATGATTGCAGGGGTCATCAGGAACCAGGGTTACGTCACATGGATATGAGTAAGAAGAGAGTTGTACCGGTAAAGTCTCGCTTTCACCCTGCTAAGGTTCTCTTCCCGACCAGCCACAAGATTGGCAAACATTCTGATCAGTTACTGGTGTCGACTTTTGAGACGTTCCCTTTGGAGAAAGGTCAACCTTCGAAAGGGAAGCAGACAACAAAAAAGTGCAAAGTGTTGCAGGCTTGAAGTGTTCATTATTGGGAGCTGTGATTGTCGGTCCAACACAGCCGCTAAGCTGGTGCCACCCAATCGAGTCAAGTCCAACTTCTCGAATATAAGCACCAGACCTTGGAACTCCTAAGCTTTGCGTATTCGGACATCGGTCTCACCCCCTGACAAAAGCCTAACTTCGTAAGTCAACATTCGGGTATTTCCCTCACCCCCAGTTAAAGCCGTCCGCGTTTTGGATCGCCGTCACGGCCGCCTGCTGCTCCTCTCCGTCTGGGGCGTAGCCAGCCAGGTCGCCCGGCGACTGCCACGTGTCCTTATCCTCGTTGACGGAGCCGAAATCGTACGATGGCAGGAGGTGCAGGTGCGTCAAACCCGCGTCGGCGAGGCTCTTGAGGTGCGCAGTGCCGGCGGTGCCCTGAGGGAGAGTCAAGCGGGTTTTACGGGGTGCTCATGTTCTTCCGAGGACGACAATAGCCGAGGCATCGACTGCGAAGTTGCCTTTTTGCTAAAAGGGAATTTGGTAAACAGGGCGGACGGGAAGCTTAGCGCAGAGGATAGCTGTCTTCTTTTAGCTCTGCCTCTTCAAGCGAGCCGAAGGATTTATTCTAGGAACCGCCATGGAAATTCGAGGAGATTTCAAGGAGGTACACTTACAGTTCGTCGAAGTAGTGCCCAGATTAAATACCTCTACTCCGAAACCACTTCTTTTCGCCGTGTGTTCGCACGATCAATCCTTCCAAGGAGGTCCTCTGAACACTCTCTTGTCATAGATCCCATTTCAAAGCCCTCTTTACCACCTTTTCGAACAGTCGCAAAAAAGCCAGTTCCAGCGATCGGATTGTAACACCCACCTCCTCTGCAAATGCCAGGTACCCCCCTCGGACCGCCGGGCCTACAGTCTCGTCGGACGCACTAAAGTCTCGCACGTGCAGCTCGTAAATGGAGATGTCCTTGAATGCCGTCAGGGGGGGTTTTTCGCTGGCGAGCGACCCCCACCCGGAGGGCTTGAGCGCGTCGGAGGTGACGTCAGCGATCTGGGAGCGCTCTCCGTTTGCTGACAGACTGCGGATGAAAAGGGCTGCAATTCAGGAGGGCAAAAGGCACCACCAGTGTCGTGGTACTGTGATATCTCAGCGACGATTTGGTGGTCTTGATGTAATCTTAGAAGCTATCACAGATGAGGTATCGAGCCACTATGAGGCGATATTAGGTCCCGTTTCTGCTCGCGGCTCTTCACCCCGTTCCGAGCTGCTCTCTGCAGCAATGAGCAGAGTAGAAACCGAAACCTCCATGCTTCTTGCCAGTTTCCTCCATCTTGCAGCCAGAGAGGATCGGTCATAATATGGAGGTCTTTACCTGCATTCTCTTCGTACATGCCTCATGAGGTCCGCCTCTTTCCTTGAAATTGCCAACGCGTTCACATTTTCACTGTCCCATGTGACTGCTTTTGTCTTACCTTCTCGAGTAAGGATCGGTCGAGAGGCTCGTCTCGATCCTGTTCGTCCACGGGCAGAACACCGTGACCTCGTAGTGGAAGTAGAGGCCCTCCCAATCTTTCCTTGGGCCCGTGACAGACCAGACGCCAGACTCGTTGTCTTCCATGGGGACTGTTGACAGGGCCTCATCGCCCTTCGGCTCTTTGTACAAAACAAGACGCACAGACTGCACCCAGTAAGACAGCGCTGTTTGTTCACAAATCCCAAGCTTCTTCCGTTGCACATTCGCAATTGTCTGTTTTTTCCGCGATTGTTACCAGAGGAGACGTTGTGAGGGGCTATTTGAGGCGCTGTGCGGAAGCGGTTGCGAGCACTTTGGAGGGCAGAACTGAGGTGGCGACTTTGAGGCTCCACATAAAAGAAGATGCTCTGTTGAGGCAGAAGCTTCGCGGTAGGCGACTCCGCATACACATGGACCAGCGGGCAACGAAGAAGGGCTATCGAGCCAAAGTAGAGAGTCTCGCAAACCGCACCAGTGGGAGTATATGCTTAAGAACCACTAAGTAGGAGCGCGGGGTACTCAGCCGGACCACAGCGGCTGACCTTTGTTGATCTAGTCGCACCGCTTACCAAGACCGTAAGCACCCCACCGAAGCTCGCAAGCACTTCTACGACTCCTGCTCAATGATAGTAGATCACAGAGGACCGCACCTTCGCTGTGGGAGCCCAAACCGCTAGACTGACGGTGTCCGCTGCGAAGTGAAGCCCCAGCGGTCCATCGTAAGCGAAGAGGTCGTCCAGCACGCCCGGCAGCTGCACCGACGTGGCGTCCAACGGACGTCCGCCTGAAGAGAAAATGACCGGGTAGGATCGAACTCCCGGCATCGCTTTTGCAGGGTTTTGTGCTTTGGAAGGGTGTATTTTCGAGATACGGTTTGAAATGGTGTATTTTCAAGATAGGGTGTGAAAGGTTTGCTTCACGTGTTCCTGGTCAAAGGAAGATCAGTCAGTGGGATCGAGTCCCTTGGCGGATCCAAGCAGCAACATCTTACCACAATCTGCAAAAGCTGAAGGACTGCTGCCTCCGACGCTATGACCTGCGAATTGATTGACAATCCTTCACTTGCGGTACCAAGCCGAATGCCTTCATGCGGACAGAATCATGTCCAGATGTCTACTCAGGATTTGGTCCAAACGAGTTACTTCAAAGCTCAGGGAGCAACGCGTCCGCCATTGCTTGATGCAGAATACATGTATACGAGAGCACCCAGCTATCAACGTCCAGACTTGCGCTCAATGATCGACTTTTCGGGGATAACAAGTGATGTCATTGAGTATCGGCAGATTCCGGAAATTGCATTTCGAACGCACCTGCGGACGCAGATACTGCCACCTGCCCCTTGACCAGCGTCCGGACGTCCACACCTTCCGGAACGCGGAGGGCGGTGAGCCCCTTTGTGTAGGGGAATTTCGCGAGCGCCTGCAAAACGAAATAAATTCGTTTGAATCACCAATCTCAACAACTCAGCAGCATAGAAGCCCGTTCTTGATTTGAATAGTAGACTTCTCTCGTCCACACCACTGAAGACTTCGAAAAGTCCTGCTCGAAGTCGGAGGTCCTCCGTTGCCTAGATAAAGTTTCGAAGCAGCAAGTTCAAGACGGAAGCATGCTTGTCGAGCTTTCCAGTTTCGACATGCTGCCTGAACACACTGCTGTCCTCCTGACTTCCGACTATTTCAAGAGCTGTTTGGAGGAGAGCTTCTCTCTTTCTACTTTAGCTGCTGGTAGTAATACTCCAAATAGCGACACGAACAGCTCTGTTAGCCGATCTCTACGCAACGAGCTCGACGGAGTTGCGACGAAAACGCAAAGAAGCGGAGGTAAATTTTTCACCTCGGATGGCAGCCCGGCTGAATCGACTTCAAGTTTGATCGGCTCGATGCCACCTGCAAGATAAGGGGATTTTGGGTTGGGTCACGACCTCCGAGCCGCTCGAGTTGATCTTTGTCATGACGAGTAGCGTGATGGGGGTCGTGCATTACACGAGTTTACTGGACGTTACGACCATAAATGGCCAGTGAATCGCAGTGGCCACTATAGAAAACAAATCGCGGGTCGATCCTTCCACCTTCAACTGCTTCGTCTCTGAGATTGCCTGCACCATCGTTCTCTAGACGGCAAAGTTTTTGCCTTTCTATGCGCGCTGATCGACTGCCCTTGTTGGTTACGCCGAACGCCCACCAATGAGCGGCAGAAGAGACTCAAAGTTGGACACGGGCGTATTGACCAAGTAGGAATAGAAGTCTTTTTCGAGAATATTTACCTTGGATTCCATCTGCGTTAATCTCAAGCTCGGCGTCCTTGCAGGCGTGCAGGAAATACTCGATTGGGCTCCCATTGGCATCTGCCGGGTCCACGCTCCAGGCTATGACGTCCTTCGACAGCCACAGCGCCTTGGCAGAGGATAGGTCACCCTGGAGAGTGCGCAGATGGAAACATAGAAAGAGTAAATGCCCGCCTCTCAAGAGTAATGATCCAAGTGAACGAGTGGAATCGTAAGCCTGCAAGCCATCGTCTGGTCTTCGGAAGCATCCAGCAGAGCCAAATTTGGACGGACCCTTCCAGGCCTTCCTCCAAAGCTTTGCGACAGTCGATTTACTGACTTTCGTGCTCAACCTTCTCTTTCAATTCTCGGTTCTAATCTCACGATCTCAGTCGAGTAGTTCAACAGTGCCAAAGTTGTTTCCGCTCAGGAAAACGCTATTGCAGAGCCTACTGCTCTATGCGGCTGAGGGTGGTGAGTTCCCCCACCTGCGGCATATTTGCTGGATCCGGCTGCTCGATATAGAGGTTCGGCTTCCCAGAAACGAGCCACACTTCGGGGCCACTGAAGCCAGACAGCGCTCCGCCTGCGTCCTGCATAAGATTAAGAAAATGAATGCTTTGAAGTTGTTTCTTTCAGCATGAGAAAGGCTTCAACCCAGACCCATCCATTTGCATTTGCTGGAGGAACCTCAGTGGATGTACTCATTGGTGCTGACTTTCCCTGAGAGATGTCCAGTTTTGTTTCATTATTACAGGTGCTGCACAGCCATTGTTTGAGGCAAACCTGGTGACAATTGACCTGGCTTCATCTCTAGAACTTTCTTCAGCCTTTCAAAGATCTTAGTTATGAGGGTCGCATGAGGGATCTAACGATCAAAAGGTCATATCTGAGACCACCACCAACTAAGCTCCTCCAACAAATGTGGTCAGGACGCTGGCACATGTGGTCATTCTCAGGTCCAACAGCTGCCTTCCAAGCTTCCGCCAGATCCTTTCCCCAAGTCATTCGTTCTTTGCTGTCCTTCTCGCTTCCGTGGTCGTCTATACTTCCTAGTAGCTTTCCCAGAAAGTTCGCTTCAGCTGTGTGGCTTACCTTCTCGTCCCCCCGGTGCACCAGGAATTCTGCGGTCCCCCCCTGCTCGAGCAGCTCCACCTCCCAGAAGACGCCGAACCCGTCCTCTCCTGCCGGCTCCAGTGGCGCGTGCCAAGGGGTCTCGGTTGTCGCCTCGCCCCACAGGTGCAAGCCCCACCCCTGATATTGCTGGTCCTTTCTGAGATAGTGAAACAAAAGCTGGTGTTACTGTCCGATTGAGTCAGTCGAAGCTTTGGTTGGCTACTGTGATTTGACATGGTGTAGTCAATCTTCAGCGAACCTGATGAAGGGCTCGCTTACGTTGTCTTATGGTGGGTCACCGATTGACTTGGCTGATCAGTTTTCATCGGCTGATCAAGGATGTCGCCAGACGAATACAGCCCCTATGAGTGTCACACAATGTGCAGGTCCTGGAGAGTGTTATCAGATTGCCTTTAGGAAGGATACATTCCTGTGGGATCCTCATTCTTCCAGGACAGGCTTTGCTTGTATGATGGGGTGCACTGAAGCCTTGTGTAGCTCTCTCTGAAGTTTGATTATTTAGTGGCACCCAGTCACAGAGTTTCAACAAGAGCGGAACAGTCAATGCCAGTATTGCGCCACTTTCTTCCATCTGAACCATCTCGCAGGGGAAGATGTTCATCTGAGTGCAGCCTCCACCATGCTGAGATCAGCACAGGCTCAATGAATTGGGGGACACACACCTGTAGTAATGCACCTTGATGGTTTTTGTTGTGACCGCTGGTGCCTTGGCTTCAACAACCTCAGCAGATGATCGCACTTGCACCACCCTGGGTCTGACGAGGGGAACTTTGCCTCTAGACTGTGCTAGTTGCAACCCAGAGAACGCAGACTTCTCAAGAAACTGTCTTGCGACCACTCTGCTAGGAGATCTTGGAAAAACTGGAAGGGGACAGGCTGGTAAGGTTTGTGATCTTGTTGGAGTTTTGCAGCAAGAAATGTTGTAGAATGCAGACTGTGTGCAGATCTGCACCTGCAAATAACCCATTGATTGGTAAGTTTTTTGCACGCAAGACTGAGATCTATACACAAGTATGCTGATTATCGCCAAGGATTGTTGATACAGTTTGGACTGCATAAAACAAATGAATTCAACTTAATCATTGAAGTATAGTTAAAGATCTTTGCAGACGTACCACCAATTTATAGCCACCTCAGAGCAGATGCATTGAATTCCTTGGCGATTGATCTTCATACCGTACACACATCATCATGGAAACCCTCAGCAAATTGCTCAAAATCAGGGAAGATTCGGGAAGTGCTTGCTATCACTCGTGCTTGGGTTGATGCACTACAGCAATCTGGCAGTTCCTGCAACAGATCTGTCAGTATCAATCGTCATTATTGCCATCGAAGTAGCTGATTAGGCGTTACAGCAGGACATTGAGAACATGTGTAGGGGCATTCTCAGCGAATGAGCGCTTTACCTGCGCAGACGCCATGGCCAGGAAGAAGCTCCGCCTGAGCACGGGCCTCCACTTTTAAACGTAGATCTTGCTACAGTGGACCGCTAGCTCAGGTTGTACATCCTAGGCTCTACAGCGTTGCACAAATCCAATGCAAGCCACCTTTTCGCTCCGATGAATTGCTAGGTAGGACTCCGTACTAGGCCAGACGCCATATTCAAAGATTTTGTGCACAAGGTTTTAGGGTTTGCACGCCTGTAGGCAGCCCCAAGATATGCCAGCTGTGAACATTTGCAGCCGTAAAAAGCTCTCCCACATGGCAATCCGACGGTTGCAATCTAAGCAACTGTGCAGCTGCCAAATGGCGCACTATCAGCCGTTCGATCCATTACGTGGCAGCATCTGTGATGTCGAATTGTTGACCAACCCTGCTGCTGAACCTCATGCGGCATGCCCGGTTCAAATTCGAAAACTTGGTTGCACCTTGCAAGAATTCCCTGGAGTCCAGCTCACAGCTTAGTAGAGTCTAGACACAGCTAATTTTCGGTCCTCGAAAGCAGCTCTTGGCGGAGCCTCCGAGGAGGATACAGGGCTGTATTCTTTTCATCTTTCTGACTTTCATCCTTCAAGTTCCGGCTTCGAAAGCTTGCGCCTTTGTGTCGTCGTTCATCAATTCCCATACGGTTGGAGACTTGCTCTGGAGTCTGGACCAAGGATCTGTCAACAACCGCAGATATGTACGCTGAGTTGCTCAGTTATCTAGCTGGTACAGGGTTCAGTGCCAGATGGAATGAAGTGACCCACTGTCCAGAATGCAGTCAGCGTCAACTTCAAAAAGCGCGCTCCAGAAGTCATTCAGATGCATCATATTCCACATCTCGGCAATTGTGAGGATAGAAGCCGCTGACAGAGAATGACAGACGAACGTGCGTCCCCTGTTGTAATCCGGGAGCGGCCTCGAAGTGCCACAAGGGCTCCCTCTGCACCAGGGCCCTTGGTGGCAGAAAGCAGCGCTGGGTCCCTCAGAGCGGCTAACCCGAACCCTAACCCTAGAGTGCTCGTAGTGCCAGCTTTTAGAGAAGCCTCGTATCAGGAGAGGAGGGGCTGGGAGGCGGCATGGCAGAGTGTGAAGAAGGCGTGCGAAGACATGCTCGGCAGCCTTGGGGAGGCTGTGCAGGTAAGAGATTGCCTTGGCATTGACGTATGATTGGGACTATTTCTCTTGCAGACAGTGGTTGGGGAAAAGGTGTGAAAGTGATTGCGTGATGTGCCTTGATATACTGTATTCCTTACGGCGGTACCTTTACCTTCCTTCTAGACGTGGTAAAACCTGGCTCCTCATTAGGAGGGAGCTCTTATCTGCATGCTTGTCCGATGTTTTCAGCTTCCAGAGGGAACTAGCTTCTGCCGTGCTCTCTCCCACCTACACCAGTGTGACACTGTCACACTGGTGTCCTATGTACCTTGGATTACAGACCTTGAGAAGTCACAATCTTGTCGAGATTGAGCAACGCAAGGCGGCAACAGCCTTCATTTCTTACAGCAATGGAAGCAGGAGATGAGCCCCCGCCGCGCCGCCCAGTCGCCCCAGATCTCAGACACCACCCGGAAAATCCAGGCCAAGCGGATCCTGGCACGCATGGAGAAAGCGCACCGCGAGATGCTGGCGATGCAGGCGGACATGAGCGAGCTGAGCCTGGGGACGCAGCGCCTTCAGAGCATGCTGGCCAAGGCGCAGAAGAGCAGGGTAAGCTGAGTGGCAATCTTACTTTGCCCGGAGATAGGCACCCGAGGGACGGGTAATTGTTAGCTTGATCATCAGCGTAGGTTGGCTTTGTAGCGCTTAGTCATTGAGTTAGGGCCTCTTAGATGAAGTTGCCGGTTCCGAAAAGTTCAGGCGAATGCCCTTTGCTGCATATGACGATTGCAACTATGGCGAAGGAGAGGTGGTACTCTTACAAAAAGAAAGCTGAAAAGGGAAAAGCTGTGTAACCGCGGGTGTCAAGTCCCGTCCTAGAGTAAGGCTGTTATTGATGATTCAATGCTGTCAGGAGTAGGATCCTTAAGTCCACAAGTGCAGTCCTCCTTGGCCAAGTATAAGTACTTTCTCAATGGCCTGCCAACTAGTAACATACTGTATTTTGATGCTCTTTATAAATACCACTTCAGTTTCAGCATGCCTTGTTTTCCCATGATATAGCATAGCTGTCAACAGCCTGGCCTTCTCACGGATATACTGGCTCGCCAATTGAGAAGATTCGTTTTGGATTTGAGGCAAACGAATCGCAGGCCTGAGCCAGATCGAATATCGAAACGCTTACAGTTTGTTGCAGGCGGAAGCACTCTCGAAAGTTGACCAGCTGGCAGCGGAGAAAGAAGAGACAGAAGGGAAATTGGGGGTGAGGTCCTGGGACACTTCGTTCCCGCTTTCACATACCTACAATGATATGCATCTTTGATTTTACTGCAGTCTCGAGGGTGCTGCCTTGGATCCAAAAGGCCTTTAGTAATTTCCATAGTGATTTGCTCTAGCTTGTTGATAGACTCGGTCATCAGCGACCACTTTGGAAAGGAGAACAGTCGCTTCAATCTTCCCCAATCTAACAGTGATATAATCCGTTCGGTTCGAGAAGAAATGCGTTTGAAAAGAAGTCTACTTGGCACTTGTAGGGTGTACAAAAGGCCTATTCATAAATCTTTATCCTGCTGGATCTTTGGCAGGAAGCAAACGAGCGGATTGGGGAACTGGAGGTGGAACTAAAGGAGGCACGGGGCACGGCAGAGCGAGCGAGATTCGAAGCGCGCCAAACGGAGCAGTCGTCGGAAGAACGGGACCGGGAGTTGCAAGGGGCTCGACAAGAGATAGCGAGCTTGGGGGAGGAGCGAGCTGCTCTTAGGTAAGGCCTACAGTAGTTGCTTCTTTCGTCTAAGGGCGTGAAAGGTTATTTTTTATCCCGCTGTTGGGGCAGCTCTTGGATTCTGGCAGGCCGGCCGACGTGTAGAGGAACCGCAACTTTTCCACAGATTTTGGCGCAACGGAAGGCAGCTATCGCGAACAGCATGACTTGCCTTCTTACAGGGACCAAGGATCCAAAAATCAGGTATCAAGGAAACTTTCAAGACTTTAAGGCTCAAAAGACTTGAAAGGATGCAATAGGTTGTCAAACATGCTGGGCTCTTGTGATAGAATTCAGTCAATTCAAGGGGAGGCTTTGACTGCTCGTTAAGAACGTCTAACCACTTCTGGTTCGCAAGTCATGCACCTTGGCCTGCTCGGTGAAGAGTGTTTTCCGTCAGGACATTACCGGTCAGCCTATCCTGGTTATGCGGGTAATGAGCTCAACAATCTGAGCCGCTCGTCATCGCAGACGATCTCATAAGCGATTGCCATGGTGCGTATTTTCTCATGGCTTTGGAAACGTTCGAGCTCCTATCACAGCAATTCAAGTGTCGTATTCGCCGTTTGTTTGACACCTTGCAACCTTTGAATGCATCGATCTCGTCCATCTCCGCCGCAGAGTCTGCATCAATCGAGCTTGATTACTGCCCAGCTCTCACCAGCTCTGTAATGTTAGCTAACCCCGACAAGCGCCAACTATCTGTATACTGCATCCTCCTTCTCTAAAACCCTCCCTGGAAACCACATTGAGAGCGCTGATCTCATAGATGACGACTCAGGCGTGCACTCAAATCTATAAGGCATGGAGACCGTGGGATGAAAGACCGGATCTGCACTTTGACAACCTCACTTTCACGGACCCGAACCGCAGGGAATCGAACGAGCGGTTGCGGGCGGAGCGGGAAGCGGCGGTCACGGACATGGAGCGGAAGGAGCGCGAGCGTTCGGATGCTGCGCGCATCGCGGAGGACGCTGCGGACACTGCCGGACGGTACAAGGAGGCCGTGGCGCGGCTGACGGCGGACAACATGATCTTTCTTATGAAAGTAAGCACAACTCGACAAACTTAGTCTTCTAAATGCAGGCTTGCCCCAACTTCGGACACCCGCAGCTTGCTCGGAACGTGCCGTAACTGGTCCGAGACCCGGTCCGTGTCAGTTGCGGACGGCCAAAGGCCCAGCTGCGCGTGACGGGTTTCCAGCACGTCTTACGCATGTGGAAGAAAGCGGAACCACAATGTACTCAGATGGGGGAAAATGTGGGGATATTTAACCGGAGCCTTCTCTCGTTGGGCAGAATAGAATTGTTTTGTCAGTTGCAGCAGTCCCCGACTGTGCTTAATGACCTCTCAGTTGGGCCTTCCACCCAAGTGCATAAATCCCTGCGGAGGAGGAGACAGGAAAACCCAAGAGCATCACATGAGTCACTGCGTTTCGTTATCCGGAGCGACAATCTGAAGAAAGAGTAAGCTTCTCTTCGTCGAGAAGAACGTCAGGTCTTCGTTTGTCGTATGTGCCACTTGCGGGAAGCGTTTCCTAATCTGAAGCAAGTAGTACGAGAAATGGCATGTGGCACCCCAACCTTCTGGGCTTTAGTTACGAAACAATGCTTCTATTCGCCGAAAAGAAGGTTCAAGTCTTCCATTGTCATTTATGCCAGTTGCGGACGGCCGAGGCCCAGCTGTCGGCTGCGGACAAGGAGCGGACGGAGCTGCGGACGGTGGTGGAGATGAAGCAGGGGGAGTGGCTGGACAGGGCACGCGCGCAGGTGGAGGAGCGCGTCAAGGAGAGCTTGCGCAAGGTGAGGCCAGAATTGCTGTATTCCCTCCGTCTCTTCTGAAAGACCTCGCTGTAAACTATGATGTAAAATCGCAATGCCAAGGCAGACTGCGCAAGGTAAGAGCGAGTTCGCCCTAGCACCCTCCGCTTCTTTTGTAACAGTAGGCTGCTGAGATCGATGACGTCAGTGCTGGAAGGGGGTCAATAGCTGGACAGAGCACGGGCGCAGGTGGAGGAGCGCGTCAAGGAGAGCATGCGCAAAGTAAGGGCGAAATTGCCTTACCCCCTTGCCTTCTTTCTAATAATAAGCTTTGATTGTTGGTTGAGATTAGTTGGCTGCGGAGGGATGAACGGTTGGACAAAGCACGGGCGCAGGTAAAGGAGCGGGTCAAGGACAGCATGTGCAGGTTGCGGACGAATTTGATTCTCGCCCTAATTGTCGTTTTCCTTTAAGCACAGGTTGGTGTGATGACTGATCGATCTTTCAACAATTATTCGCACAAGAGCGACTATGCTCTAGCCCCTCTTCTTCTTGTCAAGTATAGGCCGTGATTGATGATTGGGCGATCTGAAGTGCATGAAGACAGCATCCGCAAAATTCAAACGAGTTTGCCCTACCCTCTAGTGATCTTCCCAAGTATAGGCTGTGACTGATGAGTGAAAATCTTCCGGCCGGGTCCGTGAAGACAGCATGCGCGAGGTAAGAGCGGTTCCGCCCTTACCCTGTATCTTCTTTTCATTAGAATAGGCTGTGATTGGGAAATAAACGCTTTTCACGAGGTGCGTCGAGGACAGCACGCGCAAAGAGAGAAGATGTACGCTGCGGCCAGATCGTGAAAAAGAAAGCCGACTGTGGCTCCTATCGAGGCAGCTTTTCTTCTTCATCTACTCATTACGTTAAGTTTCAAATCTGTTTAAACTTCCAGTCAACCTCTTTCTGAGTTATTTGTGGGTACCCCTGTGCAGGCGGAGCAGTCTGAGAAGCAGCTGCAGCGTGCGCGGGCTGAGGCGGCTGAAGAAGCGCGGCAAGCAGCCGTGGACCTGGCCCGGGTGAAAGCGGACCTGGACCTCGAACGAGAGCGGCGGCGGGAGTGCTCGGACGAGCTAGAAGATACCAAAGTCAGGTGGGTACGCGACTGAGTTGAAACGTTTGTTGAAGAATGTTGCCTCCAACGTGTAGAGAGCTGCTACACTTGAGGATCCGGGTTCCAAACGAGTGGCGGGGGGACAGGGTCTAGACGACGTTTGACAATAACAAGCCGCGTCGCAAACCCTACTGGGAGCGGAGATATCTACTCAACTTCATTGACAACATCTGACAACCTTGATTCCAAACCCGAGATGTGGATCTCGTATTCTCCCCCACAGAAAGTGCAGCAACAGTGCACAGAAGAAAACATCCCGAATCTCGGATGCAGGTCCGGCGCCCCTTTTCGTTTCCTTGAACCCCCGAAAGGGACGGGGTCTTATTGACAAGGACTACGCAGACCCAATATCGGATAAAGGCGCAGGTGGCATCGCTCGGATCAAGTCCCGAAGTTTGCCAGTCATCTCTCGACGTGCTTCTCGGCTCCAACCGTGCTTCCGTGCTGTTGGTTTCATGCAGGCTGGCAGGGGCGGAAGAGCGGCTACGTTTTCTGGACGCGCAGTCGACGCAGGACCAGCTGGCGCGCCAGGACGCGCAGGCCGAGACACGTGTCCTGCGGGCGGAGGTCGACTCGTTGCGGCGCCACGTGGCAGCGCTGGAGGAGCAGCTCGAGGGGAGTCGGAGCGAGGTGCAGGTGGGGCAGAGCCCGTTCTAGTTGTTGCTTTTTGAAGGAGATGACGATGTCTGGCGACTGTCCCTGGCTTTGGGGAGTGGCTTTGATGTTTGAATGTGTTAAAGTTGGAACACTAGCAGAGATGTTGAAGTCCAGTTTAATGGGTTTTTATGTCAGGCATTGGACCTGCCATATCATGTCGAGCTTTCTACCTGCAGAATGCTCACTGAATTTGCCTACTCAAAGATCCGCTCCCTCGAAGGCAACCTGTCCGCGCTTGTCTTCAGTTTGACCAACTAGAGACAGTTCTTCCTTGGAGTGGGACTCGAGAGTCGAGACCTCCGGCGAACAGTGTAATTGCTCCTTGGCAAGCGACGGCAGTAGTACGTAAATTATCATCGTGAGTACGTCTGACGGAAGTTGTTTTTTATTTCTGCCAACGCAGCGTCTGACGAACACAGTCGCCTCGCAAGTTGAGGAGGTTCGGAAGCTGTCGGGCGAAGTGGAGACGCTCGCGGCCTCGTTGACTAAGCAGCAGGCGGTCAATGAGGGCGTCATGAAGAAGAAAGAGCAGGTTGAGTGGCAACTGCTCGAGTTGCAGGCAGAATGCCAAGAATTGAAACGGACAACAGCAACCACGTAGGTAAAGATTGTAACTTTTGGTACGTCTAGGTTGAGACTCGTTATATAGGCAGTAGGAAGGTCGAGAAAAGCCGCGTATTGTGTCTATACGAGTCGGACGTAGAATACACAATACAAATCTGGATTGAAAGTTGAAGGTGAAACCCCTTGTTTTTCGGAAACTTCAGTGGGTCCGATTGGCTGCTCGAGCCATATATATGCATGTTTCATGAAAGCCTTCCAGCTGTTTCCTATTGAGGCAGTCGAACATTGTGACACTGTTCGGTATGAAGTACTAGCTGCAACATGAATCTACATACTTGGATATGAAAGTCGATGAACGATTCTACATGCGCATAAATATTGCTGGGGCGATCATGATCTGCATGAGTGACCCAAGCAGCCGCGCATAGACGTACCGCTGGCCCGCAATTGCTGCACGGCGGCTGGCATTCGAGGCTGCATGCATGTATCACACATGGCGCGGCCGTCCTCATGGCAGCATATACGCACGATGCATATCTAGGATCGCGCAGCCTTAAGTATAGCGCGCATGTACGTGGAGCGGCCGTGAGCTTGATTGAGTTCATTCGGATTGCATCCGTGATATGCAAAGAATGATTCTCGACTCAGCTAAGAACTGCGTCCAGGTAAACACAAATACGCAGGCCAGCTAGGTCAGCTGGGACTTTCAGCTAGATTTGAGACCGGACATTGACCTAAAATTGAGACACCGAATTTAGATCATTGCAGGTTGTCAGTCAACCTTGTTCTTTCCGGAATTTGAGCATACAGCGACAAGATCTGCAGGGGCTCTGCAAACAATTGGCGGTTGAGATACAGCACTTAGCGCGCTTCGGCTTACCAACCTGCTGACAACGTTCGCTAGCCAGCGCTCTCCGACCAGCTTTGGAACTCTTCTAAAGCTTCTTCCGACACGTATGGTCTCAACTCCCACATGATGCTGTAGGCTTGGAGCACATGACTTGGACTGTCGAGCTTCAAATCGTTGATGATCCTTGCCTGCAGAACATAAACAAGTTACCTTAAGTTTCAGCTAGACCTTGGTGAATCACTCATCGAAGACACCATCGACGTCGTTGGAAAGGGCCCCGTGGTGACGGTCGTGATATCGCTTGTAAAGTGGACGTAAGTTCCGAGGGCTGTCCATGTTAAGATTACATGCAGAGTACAATATGAAGACCAACGAACGAGCGTGGCAGGACCTCGAGGAGATATCGAAGATAGACGGCGCATAAGCCTGGTTAAGGGTTGGGTCATCTTGACGAACTTCTCGGAACAAGTACGCATACCTTCATCTCCACATCCTTCTCGTACATAGTCAATATTGCACGTCCCATGGTTGCACGACTGCCGGTGAGACTGCCTCCTCCATGATTGCAAGTCGGGACCTGCAACTCGAGATTGAGAGCAATAGTCGTATTTTTTACTAGAAAAGCTCCACAGCGTCGGGGCAGAAGGGTTGAAATCTCTCTTAGGAAAGGGATTCCCTAAGAATTTTCTTCCGGTCACTCGTACTGTTATCCTTGTCAGAGCAGAACACGTCTTCCAACTAGGGTGAACCACGACAGCTACATGATCCTTATCAGGATATGCACTTTCGACGAGCACAAGGTCTTTGCCAACGACCCATTCCACCACGCGATTATTGTGGACCTTCTGTCTAGATAAACCAGCCGTTCCGAAAGGCCCCGCTCTCTTGGACAAGCATGGAATCTCTCCCTGGAAGGGCAACGTGGTGAGCGATAACCAGGGCAAAAGGAGAAAACAGAGCTTGAGAGGAGGCAATGAATCCATCGGCAGACTTGTATGACGTCTTTGAGCTCCAGCTTCCTCATGTGCCTTTTACCTCTCCACCCCTTGACGGTTCCAAAGCCGGCCTCTCAACATCCATTTCTTCGTCTGGAGGTGAAGCGCCTTCTGGATCATCCGCACAGTCGCATGGAGTGCCGGGTGCGAAGCTGTCTAGGAGTTGTTTCTCGCAGTCTTCTTGACCACATTGCATTTGCTTCAGACTAGCCAGATCTGGTGACAGAAGCAAGACGTCTCTATCAATATAAAGGAAGAGTTTCTTATAATGTGCACGAGCAGAGTTGTTTCCAAGCTCCGAAATCAAGCATCAGAAAGCTACACATAGTTTTAACCAACTCACCTATGCCTATCGAGAAGCTGACAGCCTCCATATGTTGTCAAAAACAGACTTTTCAACAGTTTAGACGTCTCAACGTCCGTGAGGCGCCTTACTTTTTGAAAATTGCTCCTGCAAGTCACACAGTGTTGTGTTCAAGCGGACAACCAGGCCGCGGTCTTCGTCAACCTTCCTACAACCGGCTTCCTGGTACGCGATCAAGCCAGGGGACCTGGCGGTGGCGACAAGATCAGCCAGCGCCCCATCTTGTTTGATGATAGGAGGCCTCTGGAAAAGTTCTGCAGTTCAGCAAGATGAACGACTCACAACTTCGTCCGGATGCAAGGTGGTGCACAATGGATGCTCTGTTGGACCTGTCAAAAATAGGTCCATCAAGTTCAGGGGATTACATGAGGGGGCCGTTGTAAGATCTGAGGTGCATTTGAAAACCCTCAAACAGCCAGCACTCTTCTCATAAAGGCTTCCAGCAATTGAGCATTGCAAACATACCGGTCGAATCAACTGCTCCAGACATCTTCCAGAAGCTCATGGTGCCCAGGTGCCCAACCAGAAACCTCAAAGTCTGGGTTTATAGACTAAGCACATGACTTAACCACTCACCAACATCTTGTTGAAACCTCTGCAGCAGTTGAAGGCCTCTCAAATGAAGCACATCCAAATCCTCCATGTTGTTGCAGTAAGTTTGCATAATGAGCTCACTCATGCGGAAGGTGGGGCAAGGCTTGTGAATGTGAAAAGGAGCTGCGCTTACGTTACAATCACTTCAGTCCCAGATTGCCCCTCCCCCCTCCCCTGGCATCACTTCCTGATGGAGGAAGCCGGTGAACACTTCGATAAGAAGTGGTGGTCATGGCACTGCTTTTGTAAGTGCGATCATTTGAAAACTCTTTTGCTGCCCCCACACTCTGAATCTTCCAACGTACCAGAAGAAAACTTTCCAGGGACCACTTCTTATTGGAAGATGCACCGAGCTTCTCACATTTGTCCACCAAGTCAGAACCCCTTCTCTACTCAGAGAGCGCTGCAAAGTGCGCCCCTGCCTGAGGTCCAGGAACATTTTCAGCTTTGAGCTCATCAGACGATGCTGCATCAGGGCGCCCTGCTGGATTGGCCCTCCTAAGCTAGGGCTAGGGTTTTGCTCAGAATTCTGCTTTAAGTTTCAGAAACCCTAAAACCGGCCCTTATACCGTAAACCCCTCTCGCGAAATTGCACTTCGATCAACTCATTTCAACTGCACTGTGAAGTTCCAATGTCAAAATTACGGTAAGTGGTTCCTTTCAGCAAGCGTTCAGGGCGCTCCCACTAGTCCCAGGGGACTCCCTGCTGATTGCCTTCATCGCATTCTTCAGCCTGCAAGCCCGAGCTTTATGTAGTGACATCCAAGATGAAGAGCTTCACAAGCGCTTTGGCCAAGGTGGCAGGTCGTATCGAGGACACGATTCAAGATGTCACTGGTCCGAAGGCCATGCAGAACTACGCGCTTGGGGAACAGGTCGGGAGTGGGGGCCCGGGACTCTTCTGGAAGCTCTACAAGGCGAAGCCGAGGAGCAAAGCAGCGCAGGCCACGAATGCAGAGGTGCGGTGGACTCAAAAGCTTTCATGGTTGGATATTCGGTCGGTGATTGAATGCAGCTTGCATGCTTCTGATCTGAAGGCAGAAGGGTTTGGCATACATGTTTGATTGACTCTTGCAGTCTCACCAATTTGAAAGTCAGGAAGATTGGCGGTTGCTTTTCTGGGTCAGCTATCAGCTCTGGTGGGCAATGGAGAGATCACCGAGGGACCAGTTAGATACTGTCTAGTTTAGCCACAAACCCCATTTTTGCTCCGCTTGAAGATCTGAGAACTCATAGCAGTCCGTTCAGCTCGGATCTCCGGATTCCCTAGTGATGTGCTTACAGAAGGAGAACAGATTGGCAATTGCCAGCTTATGCCACCGCCCCAGGATGTTTCTGCCACATCCACAGGATCTGTCAAGATCCAACTGTATCGCATTCAAATCATTTGAAACTTCATGAGCTGATCTAGGTAGTCAGGTTCTCCCTTAGTATTCCGGACCTCACAACATACAAGAGCTCTCAGCAGCCTCTACAGTCCTCTGCAGCATTATACACGACAGGGGATATTGTCCCTTCGTCTCATCTTCGTTTATCTTCTGCAACTCCCGCTCAATGATCTGGCCACTAACTTACTCCAACCCACTCAAGAATCATCCAGTGTGGCGTGGCTCCTCAGAAAGTCACTGGCAGTCTCCACAGCAAGTTACACCGCCTCTTTGACATCACCTTTAAACCCGCACTTTCATTCACCTAGGTCTGCGTGTGGCTCCTCGACAAGCGGGAGCTCACCGAGCTAGGCGAACGGCGGGGCTCCCGCGGCACCGCCGACCGTCTGCTAGACGTCTACCGCAAAGATGCGCAGCAGCTGCTTCGGCTGCGGCATCCGGGGATTGTGCGCGTGATTGAGCCGCTGGACGAGACCAAGTTCGCAATGGCCATGGTTACGGAGCCGGTCTTCTGCTCCCTGGCGAACGTGCTCAAGCAGTTTGACAACATCAAGGACGTCTCGGAGGAGCTGCAGGCCTTAGTGAGTTTGTTTTTGCGGGATTGCAGGACTTGATTGTTGGGGGAATGTGACAATCAAGGGTAAAGGGTTTTCGGGGTTGCAGCATACAATTGGATATGAGAACGTGACAGGGTGCACGGCAGTGAGGAAAGTGTGGGAGTGCGGTCAACCAAAGATCCGGGACTCGCATAAGTTTCGGCGGAAGGGCATGGGGAATTATATCTCAAAAACAGTCTGTGTGTGTTGACTTGTCATTTGGCGCTCAACTCCTCTGCGTTGTTTGAGGATCTCTGCTGTGATGTGACGGTCACGTTTGGGTCTGAGAGTGACCTATAGCCCACAGATTCAAGGTCGAACCTCTGAAATTGGAAGCCATGATTCTCCTGAACTGTTCCCGAAACCTGCCCTCACCCTCCTCAATAAGGCTCCAACCCAAAGTTTCTCTTGCCTAGGTCCTGTCTACTTGTCCTTCATTCGTACCCCCTTATCCAAACTGTCTTCTTGCAGGAGACCTCTCATTCTAAACAACACGGCTGGTTCAAACCCACCTGTATCCTATCTTTTGGATTTCGTACCTGTCATTAACCGCTCTCAATCCGTTCTGAATCCGTGCAAGCTTACCGTGCCTGCAGGAGATGTCTGAGGCTCTGGAAGAAGCACGGCCCGCTGCAGCCATCCATCTCATAACCCCCCCATTAACCCGCTTCTTCCAGCCTGTAACGCTCATTCACCTCTTGACCCGTTTGTAACCCACCCAAGCTTGTCCTGCCTGCAGGAGATGTCTGAGCTCGAGAAGAAGCACGGCCTGCTCCAACTCTGCGAGACCCTCTCCTTCATCCACGATAACGCGCGCGTGCTGCACCGAGCAATCAACCCGTCTTCTGTGTTCATCACCTCAGGAGGCGCCTGGAAGTTTGCGTGCTTCGGGTTCGCGCTGTTCCTCGACAAGCTGATTGAGGGCCACGAGGCAGCCTTCGTCTACCCAGTAAGTTTTCTGATCCCGCTTTAGCGGGTGGCAAGAGTCAGATTCCGTCACCAAGCGAGAGAAGGTGGAAATTGAAAAGTTTGACAAGCTTACATGGTGATGAAGGAACAGTGCCTCTGAAAAGTTAGTCCACAACTAGTTCGGGGCGCTGTGCGTCTTGGAATTTGCCAGCTTCGGCGGGTACAGAGCTTTGTCGGTTGTGACCCGTCGAGCACGAAGGCTGATGATTCCGCAATTTGCTTTGGTTCCTCACGAGATTGCTCGGAGCTGTGTTTCACTTGTGAAATCATGGGGAGTCCTTCCATCACGAAGTGGAGTTTGTTTGCAGGTTTGTTTTTCGACTGCTGAACACAACTGCCACCCACACGTTGGAATTATTTTCAACCGCACACCATCAGTCTCATGCTATCTTCCAGTCCTTGTTATCCCTTCGCTCATGCGGAGGATCCTCACAGACAGCCTGTGCAACCGGTCATTGACGTAGAAGCACCAAGACGCGCGCACACCTTTTTCAGAACACATTGAGTACCCTTCCGGTCCAGGTTGGCTGTTCCGCTGACGAGATTCCGGTCCCGATCCGCAGGAGCACGATAACGCGGACCAATCCCTAAGCGCGTACCCCCCCCTGGACTACACCGCTCCCGAGCTGACGCGTTCCGGCACCGGGAATCCGACATACGCAGCGGACATGTTTTCGATGGGGTCCCTGACGTACCACACGCTGACCGGGAATTCCTTGCTGTCAAGTAGCGGGAATTTGAGAACGGTGAGGGAACGAGGCCTCTCGAAGTCTTGAGGGCATGGTTGGAAGGACCGGTTCTAGTAGAGCGAAAGGTTAAACTGCCTGCGCTTAGCTTAACAGCGATTGTGCATCCAGTGGCGGTGATCTTGGCGGGTCGGTGGCGTTGCTAGTCGGCAAATATCTGATAGGAAAATTGGTCAACCTCAGTCCAACTAGCCAATTTTCGATCTTTTGGCAAACACTGGAAATTCGTTTGGAAAGCACAGAGTACGGAACGCCCTTGAATGCATACATTACTGGTAAACGATCAGCGAAGTACAAGCGCAGGGTTTCGGTATCAATCCCTTGCACCGCTTTCAAGCTTCAGGTTTGTCCCGCAGCTTCCGAAGGTTTGAAAACACAATCGAGAGTTGCTCTGACTCAAGTACGGACCTATCTTCATGTCTCACCTCTTACCAGATATTTATGATGCCATTTCGCCTCTTTCAATTCCAACCACAATCCCGTCAAACCTGTGACCTGGAAATCAGAACCCGAAATGTGCAACCTGCACCCGGAACACTGAAACCTTAAATCCCACTCGAGTACATCAACACTGTCCCCTACCTTGCGTCCCTAGGATCCATACTCCGACCACAACACAAAGAAGGACCCAGAGATACATGAAAACGAGAACAATCATTAGATTCAATCAATAAGTGTCTCCTTTTCTCCTTTGCAGTACACCAACACCGTGACGTACCTCGCCTCCCGCGGCTTCCCCGGCGCGTCCCCCGACCTCTCTCCCGAGCTGCAGCGCCTCACCCACCCCGACCGGACGCACCGCCCCGACGCCGCTTCTTTTTCCACCTCCCCCTGGTTTCGGGACGACATCCGGTTGCGTGCGCTGCGCTTTCTGGACCATATGCTCGAGCGAGACAACATGGCCAAAAGTTCGTTTCTGAAATCTTTGGGGGGGATGTGGCCCAGCTTCGACAGCCGGGTGCTGCGGTTCAAAGTGTTACCCCCCCTTGCGGCGGAGCTGCGCAACGAGGCGCTGCAGGGGCAGATCCTGCCGATGATCATGGCCGTCGCGGAACAGCAGGTGAGGCACCGTGCGGGTGCGACCGGTTCTCCTTGAGGAGGGGTCTTCAATCAGGACTGTTCGAGCTGATGGCGCGAAGAAGGACAGTCAAGCATAAAGTATTGTTGGTCCGATGTCCAGGTCGCTCAAAGGAATTAGTCCCATAAAAAGTCTGTGAACCGAAGCCTAGCGCCTTACCGCAGGCTCTCCTAAAAAGGCACGTGATCTTGGAAGTTCCTCTAAGAGACTGAACTGTCCAACCACTCTTAGGGCTCCTCTAAAGGATCCGATGTTTTCTTGTGACGTCAGGTTGTGAACAGAGAGGCCATTTTTCCCCTGCAACGTCAGCTGTTTAAGTAGAGAGGCTATAATTAATTTCCAGGACGCCCTCCAGTTCGAGCCGTCGACCCCTCCCAAACCCTGCTACCCCTCATGCTGACGGGGCAGTCGCACATCCAGCCATCTGAATAGAGCCATTCCTTTTTGCCTGTCGCCTCCACGTTGTTGTCTCAAGATAGTCACATGGCTGAGGTCCTAACTAGAGCGGGCGTCTTTTCGTCGGACACCGGCGACTTTGAGCTTGCGACGCTTTCTCACCTGCTGCCCCTCATGCTGACGGGGCCGTCGGACATCCAGCCATCCATTCAAAACCTCTTCTGTCTTTTCCGTCTGTCTCAACAATCTCGTCTCAAAATGCTCGCATGGCTGAGGTCTTACCTAGAGCGGCCATCTTTTCTGCAATATGCCCGCGAGTTCGAACTGGCAACCCTGCCCCACCGGCTGCCCCTCTTTGAAATTGACCTTCTGCTGACGTCAGATGTAACTAGAGAGGTTGCTTTTTCTCCGCAGGACGCTCGCGAGTTCGAGCTGGCGACGCTCCCCCACCTGCTGCCCCTCATGCTGACGGGGCAGTCGGACATCCTGCTCCTACTCGTCAAGCACACGTCGCTGCTGTCCGCGAAAGTACCGGACGCGTTTCGGACCAGCCACGTCATCCCGATGCTCGTCCGCGGGTTCGACGACACGGACACCCGGATCCAGGAGGAGGTGCTGAAGAAGACGGGCAGCTTCGCGCAGAGTATGGAGTATCAGGTGCGGCGATGAGAAGTGTTTTGGCGGTCTGGATTGAACAAATGTCTCACAAGGCCTCGGACATGCGGTTCTGTTGAAAGTGTCGCGGAAATCTGCTGTTAGGGGCCGCTGGAATGGTCCATATTTTTGAGTGTCTTTTGCGAAAGCTACGTTCGGTTGGGGAAATGTGCGTCAGGGTTATCCTTTAAGCTTAGCGGGTGCACGCTTTACGAGACCGGAATCCGTTGATTGGTCTTCCAAGGTTCCACTGAGTGTCAGGAATTTTACGCTCTGTTGAAATGATGTGCGAGTCCGTCAATTCGATGCCCACTCTAGGGGTACATCCTGCTGGGGCTTGATAAAGTCTTGGAATATCCGATGCGACGGCATGTTTCTCTGCATTTGGTGGCTGCGGGGGTCTTGCACTCAATAATCTCGTAGGGGCAGATGCTTGTTGCTCAAAAGCTGTCCCATTGATTCCGCTCTTTCTCTCTTTCAGTTGCTGAAGCAGGCCGTGCTGCCACGTGTCCACGGGCTGGCCCTCAAAACTGCCAATGCCGCCGTGCGCGTCCACGCGCTCATCGCGCTCGGCGAACTCATCTCCCGCCTCGACAAGCAAGAAATCGCAAACGTGCTCACGACGTTACAAAAAGTGGTCGCCGTCGATCACACTGCGCCGACGCTGATGTGCGTGCTGGGCGTGAGCGACCTGATGGCGAAAGCGAACGGCGTCGAATACGCGACGGAGCATTTGCTGCCGATGCTGCTCCCGCTGACGATGGCGACGCAGCTCAGTACGCAGCAGTTCGCGAAGTTCATGCGCGTGATCTATGACACGCTGCGGCGCATCGAGGAGAAGCGGGGGGTGATTTTGTCGGAGGTCGAGAAAACGGTGGACCTGAAGCAGGTTGACATCAGCGCAAACGGGCTGAAAAAGAGTGGTGGAAGCGGCGCGGCGAAACCGGCTGCAGGGGCGACCAAGCAGCAAACGGCGTGGGATGAGGACGATTGGGCCGCAATCAACAAAGGGGGGGGTGGCGGCAAGGCCGGGGGCGAGAAAGTCGACTGGGCGGGTACTGTTGGCGGGGCGCTCCCTGCCCCCCAGAAAGCAACCCCCCCGGAGCTCCCTCCGAAGGCACCGGCCGTGGCAAGTCAGCCGCCTGTGTCCGGGTTTGAGTGGCCGCCGCCGACCGGGGGGGTGTCTGGTGGGGCTATGGGTGGGGGGGGGAGTCAAGGGGCGTCGGCAAGTTGGGACGCGTTCGGCGCGAGCGCCGGGGGGCAGAACGTTGGAAGCGCACGGAGAGTGAGCAGTACGGGCAATCTGTCGGCTCCGCCGACTGGCAACGGGGACGCGGACCCGTTTGCAGACTGGCCGCCCCGGTCAAGTACCAGCGGTTCCGCTAATCCTCCGGCAGTGAGTAGCTGGGGAACGGGCTCGTCAAGCAGCGGTGGGTATGGTCTGGGCGGCGGCCCCGCTCTTTCAAGCAGCAAAGCTCAGGCGCCGTTAGGGAGAATCGGATCGAGCTCCGCCCCGCTTTCCGACGCGGACTGGACGATACCAACGATGGGCGCGAGCACTCCCAGCGTGACTAATCCCGCTTACCAAGCCAAGCCAAAGAACGACCTGTCGTCCATCTTTGCCCCTACGACCGACTATCAACCAACACCGCGGCAGCAAGCAGCTGCGAGCCGGATGCCCACAATAGCGCCACCTGGTCAAGGCTCGAAAATGGGGGCCTCCGGTCAAGGACAGACTCAAAGTTCGCAGTCATTGATGGACCTCTTCTGATACCCGAGTATGCTTAAGTGTCCCTCAATCCGGTAATAATACACCTGCCAACGAGATTGCCGCTTGCAATCGCTTTTGCTGTCCTGGCGCTTTGAATCGTGAAATTTCTTTGGCAATGTCGAACTCAGAAGTGTGCATGCTTACTAAGGTAAAGTCGGGATCCACAGCTTAAAGCTTCCAGTGTCATGCAACGGTTCAATGAATTTCAACAAGCTGGCACATGCCATTGACACCACTTTAATGCGCATGGCGTACGATAGCTAACTGCATGCCCATATATGTACTTTAAACGCAACTCATCTCATGCAAACCACCGTCATGTAGCACCCAGTCGAACCTTACAGCCTTCAGTCCATCATGCCAGGCATATATAGAATTAAGTAAAGATTTGGGGACTTGCCCAACTAAGCATTTTATAAAAATATACTAGGTTGCACATTATGACTCAATGCACGCAGAAAAAGTTCTGGCGAAAATCAATGATGGATGTGACTGCCTGTCATAGGCTCATGCGTGTGCTGTAAGGATCAATGACAGTCACCCACTGACGGGGTCACTGTAACATCCCAATCGCTTATCCACTAAGAGCAGGCTGCAGCTGTCTGATATAGTCTTTGAGTGCTGCACCAACCTGTCCTATGGTGCTCAGGATACAGCCGCTGATCGCACGACAAAAGAGCAAAACTACTGAACAGAATTAAGCATATGATAATGGAAGTGCATTTGTCACAAAACAGAGCTGTTGGTTGGTGACCAGCCAAGAGCCCTTTTTGACAGCAGACTACCCTAAGATTGCCAACAGCCATCTACTCAAAAGTGCTGCAGATCCTTGCGTTTTTTCTGCAGTGCTCAGCAGCTTGCATATTCACACTGGACGCTGAGGAGATCCTCGCCTAGATAGCAGGCTTGGCTGCCAGCTTCAGCGTGACCTCAGCAATGTGCTTGCCTTGGAACTCGGCTAGGCCCAGCTCGGTCTTGGTTGGCTGACGGCTCCTGCAAGAGCGAACCGTTCTCATTTGGAAGTTGATGTGAAGCGCCAATATGCTGAGTACCTAAGGCAATCTGCCCTCCAGTTGAGTTAAATCGCGTTGATGCAGTAGCAGAGACTTTTTGGCCAACCATATGGGTGAAGTGCAAGCAACTGCCATGCGTAATCTTCGGGTTGTAGTTGCTCCGTTACTCCCATGGAGACAGAGATAAGGTTTCTTCCTGCCGTCTCGTCCTGGCTCTTCAACATCCGCCTGATTTAGCAATATTTCTACATGTCCCGAGACCCTGAGCCCTAATCACGAAATTGTCACACCCCTCACTGTCCAGAGTCGGGCAGTCACCTAGCTTCCATTTTGCACCGGCTGGGATGCTTTTGGTTCTCGCCTCACTTCCCTGCCTACGTCCCTTGGCTTGCAGTAGATGTTCATTGTGGCCTCGACACAGGGTCAGTTTTCAACTCTCTGTTCCACTTGAATGTTGGAATCAACCAGAAGTCAAACAACCTCGAAGAGACTCTAACTTTATAGGCCTGTAGAGTCCACTCCTATTCACTTTCGTCCCAAAATACCAGAGATTTTCGCTTTCAACTCACCCGTCCCCAGCGAAGGTGCCCGCACCGTAGGGCGACCCCCCCCGCACCTCGTTCACGTCAAACAGCGACGGGCCGTACTTGTACCCCACCGGGACGAAGATCATGCCGTGGTGCGCCAACTGCGTGATTGCGGTCAATGCGGTGGTCTCCTGACCGCCGCCCTGGGTCCCGGTCGCCACAAAGATCCCGGCAGGCTTGCCCGCGAGAGCTTGGGTCTGCCAGAGGCTGCCGGTGGCGTCGAGGAAGGCCTTGAACTGGGCGGCCATCATACCGTACCGGGTGGGGAAGCCGAAAATCAGACCTGGCGGCAAATGAGCAGAAGCTTTCGTTAGTCACTGTGGAGTCAATTTTAGATATTTGAGGTCCTTGCTGTTAGTAGATGCTGGCGGGATCTTGAAGGGGGGGAAATAGGCGGGAGTACTCTCACAAAATGCGCGGAGGAGTCTGCAGGGGAGAGAAAGCGCGGGAGTGCTTGGAAAGCTGATCAGAACCTCCAGCTATATCGCTTGGTTGGTGGAAAGATTGATCAAGAGAGGGCTGGGAGGCCAGAGGTAGAAGTTGCAGGCTGAGAGGGGGCAGATTCCTGTGTAGAAGAGGAACTGAGCTGAGTGAGGAGAATGTCGGAGAGCGGACTGCTAAATGCGCGCTTCCCCAATGATACTCAGACTTTCCAATACTACTCATCTCAATAGCCTAACATCTTTGAAGTTAAAAGGGGGTGATTGGGGGTATAACCCGATTAGTTAGGCAGTTTTTAAACGCTCCGGTTAATGAGGCTCTATCGAGAACCCCAAACGGTTGAAACTGCCCACCTTCCTCCCTGCTGGGAAAGGGAAACAAGAAAGAAGGAATATTTTCAGAGAGCTGGTAGTATTAAGTCAGTGGTAAAATGCCAGAAGCTTGTTGAGGTCTTGAAGTCTACGCTAGCAGCCTTGCTCAATGTACATTCAAGTAGATGACAGCATGACCAAGGACTCCCACTGGCACATAAAATGTGCAGGGAACCTCTTTTTTCACAGCTTTTTCTCGAAGTTCTAAGTAGAGCCAGCTCTTTCTTTGCCAGTGGTATGTAGCCACTTACTGCACCACTGCCGTTCCATCAAGTTTCAGGTATTGCCAGACACTCTTGAGGCTGACAGTCACCCAGCTTGACTAGATGGCTTTTTCACCAAGTTCAAGAGGCCAGAGAAATACAGACAGAAGATCTTACAAGGATTGTGGCAGATCAGCGTATCTCATTCCAATTCACAAACAACTGGCTTTCCCAACCTCCTACTTCAAAAATAACAAGGAAGCATAGATGATTCAGGGGGATGCCGAGACAGGAAAGCTCACCGTCAGCTTCAGTTAGCTTCTTAGGGTCAATGATAGGAATATCGGGCTTAGGAGGCGCGTGCATCTTCTCCAGAACCTCCTCAGGAAGGGTCTCTGCAAATGGAGAATGAGCAGCAAACTGGGAATTAGGTGGATGGATTCACTGCCTCAAGATCTGGCCATTCCTTCGGCATAATCTTGAAGCTTATTCACAGCCAGGAATTAATTTCCATCAAACTGCAAAAACTGCATCGCTTTGCTCGCTTTGGGAAGGTATACATGACTACTCTCAGATCCTCTTACATTGCTGTGGATCACCTCTCACAATGGATGAAGGTGGCATTGGACGGCAGTTACAGGTTAGTAAGATTCAGGCATGGTTTGAGTGCTCACCGGGGACCTGGAAGAGGTGACCCTCTACGCCCTGCAAAAAGATTTATTTTCATTTCTCAGATCAAAGAAGGTCTGTAAGAACGAGGGCCTAGACTGCTGAACAAACTTTTCAAAGTCATGTCTTGCGTTTGAACAAACTTGCGCCATCAATGCCAGCCTAAACAATTCTTGTCCACCACCTATTATGGTGGCCTTTTGCAGTAAAACGAAACTCTGATGACCCTTCTCATACATTGCTGGCCCACTCATAAGAAGCTCTAGACAAGCAGCTGCAATATCTGGAGGAGACTTACATCTACCGAGTCAACTCCCATCTTGATCGCCTCAGCCAACTTGGCAATGTGGCCGTACGTGGAGTAATATACTGCACCCGCAACAAAGGACATTAAAAGGTGCGCCTCAGAATGTGGGCCCCAACTTTGCCTGCATTTCGCTAAGGCATGTCACTGACATGTCAATCTGGATTGTTGACACGGAGATGTGCATTGTCAAACATAGTCCTTCCAGGAACAGAAACAAAAGGTTTGCGATTCACTCTGCCTAGGAAAGAGGTGGGATCTGGATAAAGATTCACGCGTCCATATTATCCTGGCCTTTGCACTTGACCCTTTTGTCCTGGAGAATTGAGAAAATTGATGGAGCTCAAAGGTGCAGACCGCGAGGCGAAAGTACCTGACAAGGTCCAACTATAGGTTCGCTGCTTGTGTGCCGTGATTCATTGCAGAAACAAAGCAGAAGGAACGATACAGCTTTTAGGTAAGTCCATTGCACATTGAGAAGTAGCAAAAGCACCCTTAGAATTTACAGGCAGGACAGAATTGAAACAATGTTTCTTAGAATGCAGTTTCTCAAGATCCTGTACACAAATAAGATCAAGTCCTTTCATGAAATGCAGGTTCGGAAATCGTTCTAGGAAAGCAAGTCCAGTAGCCTTGATATTCCTGTGACCTTCTACTAGTGGCAAAAGCCGCTTTGGAGATAGATTCTTTGACCTTGGCATACATTTTGCTGCGCGGATTAGATTCCTTTCCTAATCCAACATCAAAAGACAGGCAGGCTTGCTAAGAACAGCATGGGACCATCTGATTGCTAGCAGCAGCCAATAAAGGAAGCGCCAGTAGTCACCCATCCTCATGCCAACACTATGTTGGGTAATTACAGAAGTCTTCCATGTCAAGCGGGCATCCTTCACTCACCAATGTAGACCTTGGCGTTGCTGGCCATTGTTGCTGGCGTGCTCAAAATTGTGGGTGCTGCAATGGAGGGAGTCGCAGACACGGGCACAGAAAGGGGCGCAGTCTCTGCTGCAGGGGTAGAGCTGGACACTGTCACCACCTTCTTCTCTTCCACGGGACTTTCAACTCTGGGAGCAGAAGTGGAGACCTCCGGGGCAGCTTTGGGCTTGGCAGAAGTGGTGCTGACTTGAGCAGTTTCGTCAGGAGCGTCAGCCTTAGACGGTTGGACGCACCCCATGCGAGCTCAGCAGGAAAGAAGCAGGATCAGAAGAAACATCTGCTGTTTTAGCACTCCTTGAAAGCCAGAACTCGACTTTGAATTTGAAAAGGGTGCATGCACATTGGCAAAAGGGAAGACAATTGCGCAGATCGCCGCATTCTAGGCGGCAATTGGTGCCTGAAGCAGCGCTGTAAATTAGGTGAAATTGCGCATAATTTCCATCATGGCCAGGGTGCTTGCGTCACGGGCGACGTCTTCGGAATCTAGAAGAAATCCGACGCCGAAACCAACGAGAGCACCTTGAAGGCTCTCATGCAATATGAATTGAGTATGATAAGCTTTCTCCTCGATATCTTCGAAAGAGAGGCTCATCGAAAAGGTTGTCAGTTTCACAACTGGCATATGGAAGATATATTTCCCACAAATCTGCATAAAACCCCCTGATTTGCTGAGAGATTCACCAGTCCAGCTGGCAGCACGACCAGCTTTGCTCGCTTTTAGGCACCGATGTTCCCGTATGCGAGCTGTTCAGTTCATGAGAAAAGGAAAGGGAAAATGACTGAAACCAGGCAGCCCTCAGGCAGCAAGCCCCATGCGTCACCTTCTCATGCATGCCTCCCTCCTCCAAATGCTGCAGGCCAAGAGCAATGGAATACAGGACTTAGTCACTTACTGTAGCTATTCCAGTAAGATAGATCACTTGTATATGCCTCTCAAAAACACTCTCTGGGACTCTGCCTCCTGAAGTTGCACAAATCTGGGTCAGCACAATGCCAGACCTTCTCTGCTCATTGGTGAGTTCCTCTTTGGACTGCGAAGATGAAAATATACATGTAAAGCATCAGCAAAGAAAGGTTGCATCTGTTCACAATTGTATTGGAATGGACAATGTAATTAGGAGGCAGGCGCTATAAGTAGGCTTCCTATCTTTCAAACAATGCCGCATTGCATCAGCCCCCTATACAGACCCTGCCAACCTGCAACTTTGTGTCGCTCTTCAATTGGTGCTGGACGTAAACACCGCGTTTGCTTCAACCTGAGCAATCAAACTGCTAGAAATCAAGGTTTGTTTAGGCTGCTTGCTTATATTGAAGGCATCGGATGGCAAATTCTGTTGAGCTCAGATTCAGTGCCATGGTAGCGATCTTGGATTGGAATGGCGCGCCTATTGATAGCAAAGGTGGTGTCACATGACAAGTTGAGTTGTTGTGTATTCTGAAGTCCTTCTGGAGCTTAAACCTTCAAAAGGTTCCTGGTTTGCAGCTCTTAACTCCTGCCACTCAACCGCAGTAGGTGTTTGCCTGTGCCTTTTTCTCAAGGAAAAGTGTACATATTTCAGGAAGAGTGGCTGATGTCTGAGACAGTCAGCGTCTGTATTGATCTCATGCATGGCATCGGGCTTCTTTTTACCTTACGGCTTCTGAACTTCCGATTCTATTATAGCTTGAAACTATTTCAATGACATCTCCTTGCAGGTTCATCTGCCAGACATTGAGCCCTTCTTGAGGTCTCTCAGACTGCAAACAATCTTTCTTCGGCGACCTAATCCATGGGAGAAGGTAATATGTCTGAACATCTGCTTCACAGTTGCCTGAAAGAGTCTGGTGTGACGTTCAAATGTTTCTATTTGCCATTCGTAGGATAGTCACTTGATGAAATTTGTCGTGGGGCATAAATGGATACTCTATTCAGCTAATACCGCCTCACATTGTTCAAGGAAGCAGTGACTTTGATATATTGGGAAAGCATACTGAGCCTGCTTCTAGTTGCAGGAGAAGGTGCGGGGCTTTGTGAAAGGGAACTGGAGCAGCAATTGGGCGCAGGTGCGACTTTTGTCTGTCTGAGAGGCACCGTTCTGAAGCAAGTAACGGCATCAACATTGCTCGTTCACTAAGATCGTGAGCCGAATTGAGACTTCTGATCGAAACAACTCCTTAGAACAACTCTTAGAGTTTCCTGCTCATGTGTAACGAGGTCTGAAGGTTGCTGGATACAGTCTGATGCGCCGGTTGTTAAGTCGACAAGTATAGGCGTCTTGCTTTTCAGTCACTGATTTGGGGACAGCTTCTATAACATTGTGTGGTGCCTGACTGGAAAGTTTGTCCCTACAGGAAGTGGACGTTGCTTTCTCGAAGCAGCCCATCTCATGCTTCATTGCAACCAAAGAGGTAACCCTCCACCAACTTGAAGTCTGTTTATGCTGAAATGAGCGTCTTCCTCAGTTGCTGGCTGTGTGTGCGTCGAGCAATACATCTCTTTTCCACAAGCCCAAAGATATTGTTTAGGACAGCGTTTACATACTTGACCAATCAACACGGCCCTAAATTACCAGCACAATAGCTTCTTTTGATCTGAGTAGTTTCTGCTTAAAGACACAGTTCTGATCAAATCCCAAATTGAGAGTTAATTGACACCTGATGATCGAAGTTGAAAAGCGGTTGAACAAACGGATTCCGTGAAAGAGGCAAAGGATCAAGGAGAAGACTCGAAAAGCACGTTAGATTGACAGGTTCCACTTCACTTCATACGTTTGGAAGGAACGCTTGAACACGCGCTCACTAACTGCGCTGGTGAGCTGATGAAGTTTGCACGACTCATCACCGCATCGTGGAAGCCCACGTTCACCCTTCTCAGAGTCTTCCTTCACGTTCGCTAGCTGATCAGGCCCGTTCTGGTTTTCTTTCCAGGACGACATTGTTGGCTTCTCTGCGTGTAAGTAGGCCTTCCCTGGTCGAGCAGCCTAATATGCGTTCAATGGACATCCAGTAACTCTCCGGCTGAGCTTGTGCTCAATACTCGTGCTTGGACCTTCCATTTCAATGTTCGATGCTGTTTTGCCTGCCGATGTGAGTCGTGCACGTGCCCTTCGAGATCCCCACAATTCTAGTTGGAGGGACTTTGGGAAAAGCTCGGCGCTGGCACACCTTCGTCGCACTCTGGCTTCGTCCAATGAAGGCCACAGTGAGTTCCCAAAATTTTTGATGGGTTGTCCGGTTGCTTGACTTCGATGATTCGTACACAAGGCTTGCTCAGTGCGCGAAGTCTTGCTCATTCAACGAAGAGTACCCCTCCGGACGTAATGAAAAGAGCATGGCAACTTTCTAATGGAGCAAAATATAACCGCAGATGAGTGCACACGGAGAGGCTTCTTCGGCCCAATGGGCGTCTTACCAGAGCACCGGAAGAAGGTGAGGTGATAAAATCTACATGCGTCGACCACATCAGATGCAACTTTTGAACTCGACGTGTTGAGTGACCCTCGATTCAGCCCGTCCTTGACTGGTCTGTCTGGATGCCATACCGGGTAAACGCGTGAAGTCTGTCCATCCAAGTCTTAATCTAGGAAGCAAAGTCAGGGGCTTGTTTCCTGCCATAAGGTATCCTACCAGAAGGAGGTTTGTAAAATAATTTCAAGTCTCTGAAAGTCCGCCATAGGGACATTTGAGAAGCGGGTTACAGAGGAGGGGTGGGGTTGAGGTGCGAGACTGCCGAAGAGGCTGAACTAGATAGGCGAAACTGCAGGGGATTGGCACGGCGCTCCTGCTGGCCGGCCTGATGGGCCTCCAAGACCTGGGGTGAGCCCCACCCGGCTGACGTCATCTGGTCCTGCGTTTCGCTCGTCCCGAGCGCCACGTCTGCGTGCATACGAGCTGCGTGTCGATTCATGACCACTGGCCCTACGAGTGAGTATTAAGAGGTGCGGACACGGGGATAACGAACGATTGATGTATGCCTTTCTCCTTAGCTCAGAATCAGCGAGCTGAAACGGATTGGAAGGACGAGACTACGTCGAGCCTTGAAAGCAAACGCTAAACACCGCGCCTGACGCCGCTATTGTCCTTGGAAGCCACTACCATGGGAACGCCTAGTCGACGTTGGCGCTTCTCCCAAACGCTTACCGAATCGCGTGTTCCGGCAGCAGCCGAATTGGCTTCCAGATTTTGCGCGGGAATGTGAGACCGGAAAGCCGACTAAACCATCGGATAAAGTTCTCCCCTAATACTGCCATGCCCCCTTTCGATCGCTCCGTCTCGCGTGGTTTCGCCGACATTTATACGTGTGCCAGGCAGCGTGGCGATTGGTAGACTAGGCTACATGTTTCATTTCGCTTGCGCCGTGCCAGGTACGTCTATGGCATCATCGGCGCTGCAGGACCGGTCGACTTCTACCACCGGACGTGCGGTGCTGTGCCGATTACTCTGAACAACGGTAAGCATACTGACTGCACACTTGACGGGGAAGAATGAGATGGTGTAGTGTTGTGATTGAGCTTTCGTTACTTTGCTGTCGTCAGATGCCGCTCAATTGGTCTGGACCCGGAAGCTTTGCACAGCTGTGCTTCACAGGCTGCTGCCAAGAAGTCAAAAGAGTGATTGGATATTCTGATTAGATGCAGTACTGGCAAATAGGGTCTCGCCACGGGAGGCTCGTCGACAGGCCACTTCTATTTTTGTCATTGCATCTGCTCCTAATCCACCTTTCAGAATCTTCGCCACCTAAAGTGATTCAAACACGAATTATGATGAATTTGTTTTTGAAGAGGAGATAAGTGCCTCGCTGCCCTCTGCTCGTTTTGTTGTCTTCAAACTGACCAAATTTGCCTTGCGCTGCAGGACGAGGGATATACGGGCTGAAGGAGGAGCCTCGCTTCATGCGGCAGTCCAAGAAGGATACACGTACAGAGTGACTGTTCACGACGAGCACAGACTTGACACGACAGACTCTTAGCATGTACATTCCCCTCTTGCATGGAGCAATCTGGAAGGCGTTGCTGGTGCTCATGTACTAGTAAGGTGTCAAACTCCTTAAAAGGAGTATGTCAAACCTGGGCGAACAAACACAAGACGCCATTTGGCATTGCGTGGGTTATCGTGTTTGACTTAACCAGCAACCCTTGATGTTGTGCCAATAGCCTCTGCTCGAGCCGGGCTAGAACACGTGGGCAACATGAGGACATTGAGGAGCTAGGTTACTTCTCATAGCGAAAGTACTTTGCCGCCTCCTTATTTCAGATTGTCGTTCCAACACGGAAACACTTACATGCAGATCATGCAACCTTCTCGCCGATCAGCACCGTCTGATATTAATGGATGATTGCGAGATATTATGCATCATGGTCATACATTAAGTATTAGCCATTTGCGACCATAGGTATACGTGTCTTGAGCATTGAACGGTACATCTTAGATTGACCACGCATGGGTCCCGGCGCTGCATGCGGGCGGCAATGATAATGCCACTCATGCGAACCCGACTGCAGCTTCTGAAAGTTCATATGGACCAATATGAGCATATAAATTGCACCAATAATGAGCGGCGTGTGTATATACAGAGTTGTTTATCCGGCGGCCACGAGATTGAAGGCCGCTCCAGTGATTCGCGGCATGGCTGTTTGTGTCGGCTATTCCCAGAAAGGTCAGGCAGATTCATGGCCCGGGACGAATTTGATTTCATTTCGGTACAGTAATTGGATTTATTTCAGCTAGTGAATGAGCGAGAATTGCATCAACTTCGCGTTGCAGCCGAGGCATATACAGCATGCCATGCCCCACCGGCTCTTTACATTGTTCCAATCGAAACCTAAGCAGCCCCTAACCTAACTAACAGTGCATGCCTATGTAACAGCTTTTTAGCATGTACAAAAAACGCGCAAGCCTCGTCCTTTCAATTACCTGCCAGCGAACTGTTTTATAATATTCTCAGTATCCAACTTTCGGCTGAATAACCTTCTGTGCATGGTGAATGCAGGTGGCTGTTTTTGCGGTCCGTCCTGACAACCCGCAAATCTGTAACAGCGATCCGGTAATCCGATTATTGCAAGATTGAACGAGCACGGATCTAGTTTCTTATGCGCAAGCTTCGACTGCAGACCAAGGGGTTGCGGGGTTATTGAGAGATTTTCTCCCAGACGCAGTAGTCGCAGCCGAAGCAGGCCACCTTCCAGTCGCACTCAGGAGGAGCCAGATGACCCATGTCGTGCCTGCAGGTTAAAACATTCAATGCGTCAATGACGTGCCACGTAAGCGGTCGCAACAAATAGTGCAAGCAACGTCTACACGCCACCAACTTGCCACGGTTTGCTGAGTGGTGAAAGCACTGGCGAGAGCACCTCTGCCGCCTCCTCAAACCCGAAGCGCGAAACTCCATTGTCTCTGAAGAATTCATGGGACCTGACTCACAAGAGCACGCATGAGACATTCGAAACCAAAGAAACCCAGTACTTTGCCAGAAGCGTGCTAAGGGATCTTACCTGGGTCCGATTTTCACAATAATCTTGTTGTCAATCTCCGCAACGTACAAGTCCCCGTCGGCGCACTTGATGTCGATCTTGCTGTTCGCCCGGATCCCGTTGTGTTTCCGGCACTTGATCAGGTTCGAAATCTCCTCCTTGAGGCCCCAGTCATAGAAGTGGTCGTAGAACTGCGAGGGTTAATCGCAGGTTAGCCGGAGTTCTTCGCCGAAATTTGATGGTTGAAAATTCGTTATGTACTGAGGAGTCCCGTCTGTCGGGGACAGAAGAACCTTGCACAAAACGTGCAGTCTTACATGTTCTACGGTTCCGCTTCAGGGGCGCAAAGCTAGAAGAGGAGAGTTTGCCAGATTCACTCTTGCAAACCGTGCAGATTGCGCCCTACCTCGAAGTTCTATGTTTACACCTCCTAATCTTCCAGCCTCATCAATCTGCAGTGTGCTGCCAAGCCCCCAACCCCATTCCCTGCTTACTTCGTACTGCCAACCGGCTGAGTCAGCATGTCTGCTTCCAGTGCGTCCAACCACTGTCAAAAGGCAAAAGCTTGCCCAACACACCTCGCCCAAGAAAGAACCAAAGCCCCACCTCGAGGATCGCTCTCTCAAGGCCACTCAGAACGAACAAATCCGGAGTCCACTCAGGTACGGAGAGACCAACCTCGCTCACGAGACCACTTCATCCGCCACAAGAAACATCAGATACTAAAGTTCTTGTGCTGGATTAAGTCGTTTCGTGTGCCCAACCCGAAAGCTCGCTCCCTAGAGCGACAAGACAGGAACACATTCGCAGCCGACTCACCACGGAGGGGATCCCCGGGTGCGTCAGAATGTACGCGTATCCCTGCATGACCTTGTCCGCCGGGAAGGGCCAGTGGTTCTGCGTGGAGCCCGTGTCGTGGTTGTCCAGGAACGTGACCGCCTTCTCGGGCATCCAGCCGATGAGGCCGGGCGGGAAGTTGTTCTCATCGCGCAGGCGCCACAGCTCGCCTTGCACGGCCTGCTGCAGGATGCCCTTGGTGGTGAAGTCGAAAGAGGAGCAGAGGCCCTCCGCGCTGTTGATCCAGTCGACCAGCTGCTGCCGGTGGAAGTCTGCAGGGAGGCGTGAAAGGGTATGTTTAGAGTGTGGATAACAGGGTTAAAGCGGACGAGTTATGGTTTAGGACGGGGCAATCTGCTGCCAATAAAACTCTCTTGGGAGAACAAGATTCCAAATGGGGCCCGGACAGTGAGAAGGACGAGAACATGAGGCTGGTGATAGTATCTGCGGACGTACTAAAGTCGAGAGAAAGCAACGTTTGATATGAGCGAGAATTGAAGGACACGAGAGAGGTCCTGTCTTTATAATGGGGTCCGGTTTGTAGAAATGTAAGCAGAGAGGACGATGGGAGAAGAAGGCCGAGCAGAAAGTCGGAAGAGCATCGACACGGCATGCTCGTTTGGTCTGCTGCCGGATGAGGTCTCCAGGCAAAAAGCTTATGGTCTCGAGTCCAAAAAACCAAAAGCACGGGACGAATGCAACTACGTGGCAAAGGGGTATAGATATGAAGTCGACATTCCTTCGACCGGACCAGAGTCTCTGCACGAAGATGGAAACACCACCTTGTCGGGACTTAAGCAACACATTGCTTCAGCTCGTGACATGTTTGCCTCAAGCTTCGTGCCTTCATGAGCGAAACTTTGGCCCAGGGGGCCAAATGCATTAGGCGACAGTCTTTCAACGGAAGGGTTTAAACCAGGTAAGTTGCCAAACCGTCTTTCTCAGTTCTGTAACGACTGTGATGGGCCAGGTCATGTTGCAATAACATGCCTTGTTGTTGATCCGTCCCCTCGTAATATCTTGCTTCATTGGATTACTGTTCGTTTTGCCCCTGAGACTCATCAGTTTACCAGACGTTTTGCCCCTGAGTACATCTCATTTCATACTCTCAAGCCCACAACCTACCAAGCCTCTGCCTCACATGAAGTCCCACAATCCAAACCCAAACCCTAATCTCCCAAACTCTCATAGTTTAAACCCAAGAAGCGACCATGGACACGCTTAGTAGTGAAGATAAGGGCATCACTTTCCAACTTCACTCGTCCACTCAATAAGAGAAAGCCAAAAGAGAAGCAGTCCCTCACCTTGGTTGTAAGCAGGCCCCTCGCCCTCATACCCTATGGAGGTCCAGTACTCCCCCACCGAAAACCCAGGCCCGGTCTCCTTGCAGTACAGCGCCACGGCCCATCCCGCAAAGCCCTTCGTGAAGTCAAACCGCCAGCCGTCATAGCCAACGTCCTCCTTGAGCCACTTCATCCAGCCAATGAGATCCTTCTGCACTCTCTCGTTGGTGTGGTCCAGGTCGGGCGCGGCGCCGTAGTCCTCGCCAGTGTCAGGCGCTCTGTTTGGAGAGGGAGTGGCGTCAGCGCATTCTAGGGTTTGACAAGAAATTATTTTCAAAGAACTGAGAGGTGACACTTCATGACTTACTTTAGCATTGCTGCAAGATATGTTTCAGGTCTTTCATTCCATGGAGGCAGTGAAGAGGGCAGGGCTTGATGCATACGACACTTCCGCTCCAGTAGCCACTTTCCTGGTCAATGTGTGACTGTTTGTGATTTAGATCTGCTTTCAGCGGTGGAAACCCTAAGTTCGGATACCCTGAAGATTACAATAGAAGCACCAAGAAATTGAAGTGCTGCTGACCTTGCATACAAGAGGTGAGAAAGACCTTACTCTGGCTTCAAGAAAGACACTCTCACAAAGATGATTCTTAGATACCCAGTTTCAAATCTGATCAAAAATGTCTCCCTGAAGTGAAGTTATCATTTTTCAGGAAGCCCTGGCAGGCTTGAGGAGGACTGCACCACCCCAGCGCCTTACCCTGTGCCGTCTCCAAACTCGTCATCCTTCGCAATGGACCAGGGTCCCCAGTCCAAGCGTTCATCAGGTGTGCCTCCCTCAAAGATACACCACACGCCGCGCTCGTCCTGCAAAAGGATTGGACAGCTTAAGGTACTGCACCGTCGTTAGGGTTTGCTATGAAGAAAAGCTGATCAGTGCCTGGAGGGAAAGCAGATGTCCATTGTTCCAGTTGCAGATGATTGTGAGGGTTAATTGCATCAACAGTAGATCTGCAGAGGAATGTTTACAGCAAGATTTGAAAGGAACAACAATCTCAAACCATTGAATGACCACGAAACCCTAAAGTTCAGGGTACGAGACAGCATCACCAAACACCTCTGTAACTGCTTCGGCGCTGTATCATGAGAAGACAAAGCTGAGGACCGAGAGATTAGCATGAGGCAAGACGCTTACCTGCTGATCAGCACACCGATGGTTGATGACAATGTCGGCGACTGCGCGCACGCCGTTGGCATGGAACTCGTCAATGAGCTCCTTCAACTGCTCCTCATTTCCATACTTGGAGGCATCCAGGTTGTAGAGCTGGCCGGGAAGATAGCCTGCGAGGAAAAGCCGCTTGTGAGACAAGGCTGGTCTACCAAAGATCTGAGAATACCACTGGTCACTGTGGATTCCTCGAGAAAAGTCAATCAGACGGATGTTCCAGAGCCAGTCTTGTCCCTGATCAGAAATGAGATGCAAGTGATTTAAGAAGCTCATCGAATGCAATGTAGTGTCCAGGCAAGTTGGATTCAAACAACTGCTTGCTGTCCATGAAAATTCGAGGCATCGCGTAGCAGAGGGATCACTTGGACCACAGACTCCGTAGCTTCTAAAACACTCAAGTGAATCAACATAACCATCCACTGGCCAATCCTGTCTTTTGTGATGCAGTCCAATGCAGGGACTAAGAGTTGTCTGTAGAGTTCTGATTTTTCCTTCCAGATCTCACAGAAACAGAAAGGTCTATGATACCAACTTGCAAATTACCAACAAGCAGCACTCACCCTGAGGAGCCACTGACTGGCTCGGCGGTGGCAGCCACACGTCGGTGATCCCTGCCTCCGCCAGGTCCTTTGCGCACTTCTTCAGGATGTTGTACCAGCACTCGTTCTTGTTGGACTCCCAGTTGAACCCCTGAAACATGACCACGTCGTTCCAGTCGCAGGGGATGTTGCCACCCCTGGAGCCCTTGGTGGCAGGCGCCTTCTTCACCTTTTCTTTCGCCTTCACCTTTTCTGGCATTTTGGCCGCTTCTTTGGAGGCGTCCTCTGGCTTCGATTCGGCTTCGACAACAGCGGTGGCCCTAACTGTAAGATCTCTGGCGTGGGACATTGCCTTTGGCGTCTGCTTCAGGAGGGAAGAGCCTCCTAGACTGCCGGCACTCAGCCGGAGCATGCTAGGGAGGCTGCATTCAGACGTGCGCAGCTGCTTTGAGATGGATGAAGTCTCAAATGCCGCACGGGACAGTACAGACGCCTGCACCAGAGTCGAAGCGGTTGCCATCGTGTCTCACTCAACAAAAGCACAAAAGCTGTCAGCAAGCACGCTTGATTTGACAACACGAACACGCGAGGATCAGGGCCACCACTTCCTAGCAAACAAGCTCAAAGAAACTTTATTCTGAAATGGCTAAAAGGATCAGTGGCAGCAAGGCTTATGTTCGTGAAGAATGATCGTCTCGTGCCTCCTGATCATACGAAAGAGACCTTCTGAGAAGTCCTTTCTCTTTCCCTCTCCTTCCTTCCCTGCTTGCACCTCACCCCCGAAGACATGAACGAAGATGCACAGCTTGACAATCATCATCGGGAACACGAGGGGCTGCACAAACTGCCACGTGCTTTACAGTAGTGCACAGGGTTTGCGATGCACTGCTCTCAACCGTCGATGGGCCCTTGATTGGTCAACATCTGCCAGATGGCCTGTTCTGCGCCTACCAGGTGGCAACCACTTTTCTTGAAAGTGACAGGTGGCCCACAATCAGGCATGCATCACTAAATGTTGGATACGGAAGATACGGATTCCGCAGCAATGATTGCGCTTCGGTCCGTCCGGATCGGGATTCGTGCGGAGGGCCTGCCTCAAGATGCCTCAAATCTCGGCGGCGCATGCACATTGCAGTCCCAGCTTTCTTCTCGACACAAAGTCCTACTCCTAGTATCATCTCGCATGCGAGTCGCTAACACAGTTTTGGAATAGGTATACCGAAATGGCCTTGAGTATCCTTCGCAGAGTTCTGGCGCACTCCACGGGCCTGAATCCGTAGCGATTTATCTGCTTCGCCAGCTCAGACTGAGCACTTCTAGAACGTCCGTGTTCTTGATTCCTGGCGGCAATCATCTGGATTATCCTGGCGGCAATCATCCTGGCGGCAATCGTGACTACGAACTAACCTGATCAGCCTCCAAGTTGAACATCCTTACCACCTTCTCGTCACATTTGTCATATGCATTACACTGAACCCACACTGAATTTCAACTGAATTGGCTACTGCTAAGTTCCATTAATGATCAGTTGCAACTTTGTCAACTCTGGCGTGAAGTCTTCAAACATGCAAAGTGCACAAAGACGGATCACACGACAATCTTCGTTGGATTTGGAAATGTGAGCGCAAATCTTCGTATCAATTAGCAGTACCTCGAAGGACAGCTCGGAGGGCGCGTTAGCCGAGTCAGCCTGCATCAGAAAAGGCCGAATGTGCCCTCCAAAGAAAACAATACAGTCGCTAAGTTCATAAATCTGCTCACCACTGCAGGGCCACTGCATCACATTTCAGTCGTTGCAATCTGCATGGAAAGAGCTTCTTGCTTAACATGTATTGAATTACCTTCGTTACTTTTCTTTTGAGTCGGCTAACTGTCAAGACAATCGGGACTTCCCGTCACAAGCCTTCCCTGCTGAGGCCTGTTGGCGAGCGTTCGTTGCTTCTATCGCTTGTCAAAAGAGAGTGTTGAGAAAGGGTTCCTCGATTTCTCAACTAAGTCTTAGGTTCTTGACATTGGATAGGCCCAGTTCGAAACTTCAATCTCTAAAGCATTTAGATCCGATCAGCAAAGGGAAGAGCTTTGCCGCCTGGCTTAGGACGGGGGTGCATTTGCCTTCATTCTGAATACTCTGGATTGTCGAAAAAGGTCGAGTCAATGGAAGAGCTTATCCTTGGAGATCGACCTTTTCCAGTAAGTCCCTGTGACTGATTCGCTACGGCTGCCATGAGTCAGGCATCGGTTCCGACGACCAATTGATATGAATCGAATCCAACTCGACGGTCATCTTCCTGTTTGCTCCAATCTGTTCCTTTGACTGAAGAATGTATACTATCTTATCAGCATAGTGACTCCACTCTTATATTGCTAGTGCCCAACGTCAGGTATAAGTTCCATCGAAGCAAGCTCTTGTAACACAGCGTTAGCCGCATAGCTCATAAAGCTCGACGCTCTATCGTCGATCAAGGCGTCTAGTAAAATCTCGCTTCATCTTCAACCCTGTGGGCGACTGCAGCTACTTGGGAATTACAGTATCTCTTCCGAAGGATCTTACAAAAATCACAAAAGCAGTAAGCATATGTAGAATGATACACGGTCAGAATTTCGTATGATGTGCATGGCAATACAGGTGGCACAGCAGCAATTCTCGCCGGCAAGGAAGTCTGCAACGTGGATCAGTCAGATCGGAATATCCGCCAAACTGTACTTTTAAGCTTTATAAGCTCTATAACTGCAGTGAAGCTGCTTCTCGTACGAGGTAATATCTGATCATCAGAGCTGGCGAAGTCCTTGCGAACGAGTAAACGGCTTTTGAAGGATTCCAAGCAATCTCGGGATCAACGAACAAACGGAAACATGGAAACACCGTGACTGGTCACTGACAGTCACAGCACTATATCTGCGTGGTGAATACTAAGCGCTTGAGGTTGACCCTACTTATCAATAGACTTCATAAAATAATCCCTGCCTTGCCGGATGATGCATCAACACTGTCTCAAACAAAAGTTTCTGCATCGGAGGGGAGTGACTCCAACCACAAGGCAGGCAGACTGGTTTCGTTCCGTCTTCCTGCGCATACCAGGCCTTGATCCTCCTTGCAGGAGCGCCTAGGGAGCGCTTCAGGTGAAAGCATTCGCAATACAACTCGTTTGCCCTTGAAACGGCACGGACAAGCTCCTTAGCGGAGGGCGGGTCCCGTTGGATTTCCTGAGGTTCCCCCTCTCCGTGCTGTGGCTACCCTTTGGTTCTTCACGGGGGCTATTCCTCCTTGTAAGCCTTTTCACAAGCTGCTGTTCGGCAATCTGCTGAACTAATCTTGCTTCCGAACACGGGGTACTTCCCCAGGACTGCCCCAACCTTTGCAAACAACGGGAGATTCTCAAGGGACAATGGTAAACGAGAGGTTTCTCTACCTGTTGACATGGGTCGTTTTGGTGGGCTTAATGATCAGCGACCTCTCCTCGAGGCGACATCCTGCCCCAGCGAAGGCGGGCTTGGTCGCCCTTTCGGTGCCTCCTACCAGGGACTGCGAGCAGCGGCTCAAGATGATCACTGCGTGCCACGTGGCGGGGCAGGCGTGCTGCCACGTGTTCCAGGAGGCCAACGCGAGGGGCTGCTTCTGTTACCTGGCGAGTAAGTGTCAGCAGAGTCAAAATGCTGCTCAGTGAGATCGGGCTTGGATTGCTCATGATGTACTAAGTACGTCACTGCAGCAGATATAACACTCATTCTCTACTTCGTCAAGGGATGGAAGCAAAGGCAAGCTTCTCCGTGTGAGCCATATTCGTTCACCTTCTTGAGGACTTCTTGATCATATGAATTTAGGAGCAGAGACTGATTTCAATGGCGTATTTAAACACTTGAATCTGATGTTAGTTTTCAAAGGGCAGGTGCCAAAGCAACCAGTTGACCACGAGAGCGGGCTAGAAATTGTAAAATACATGTGACGTTTCCTTGAGAGTACTCTATCTGTCGAATTTCAAAAGCAGAAGATGCGAGAAGGACTTCAACTTCGGCAGTAGATATTAGCATTGAAAATCAGTCGACTCTCCTTTTCGAAGGCACCGTTCGCATCAGTCGTTGATGCCGCAAGGAGCCGAAAAGCGGCTAAACACGAGCACGATTTGATCTTCCTTCAGATAATAAAAGTCTGTGATGTATCCATCCGATCCTGATTCTTTAGATTCCAAAATTCGGTAGAGTGATGTCAAGACGAACGTCATTGTGCTGCATCACTTGGAGCTGCGAAGACAAAAAACATTGCGGACGCAATGACTTTGACAACATTTGTTGTGGCCTCATCCTTTTGTAGCCTTCGGATATCTAATGACGACTTTCACGTCTGTCGTGGATCTGAGCTGAAAGTTGTCTCTATTCTGTGAACTCAGACTTCTCCGTGGAGGGGGCGATGTCCCTGACGTCAGCCGACGTCGCGGCTCTCGCATCGACCTGCGCGGTCCCCTACGTCAGCGTACCAGGTGCTGACACGTGTCCCTCTGCCCCGCGCTCGCGCTTCCCGGCGGCCCACCTTGAGATCGTCATTCTGTTCGGTTACGTCCGCACCCCGGCTCTTGGCGCGCGTATTCACACCTTCCTGGCGCCGGTGACTTCGCGTTTCGCCCGAGGCGTCTGGTCGGAGGTGGGAATAGGCCCCGGACGCGGTTTGGGGGATCCCTCTGGCGGTCCGTTTGCTGGTCACACAGCCCAACGAAGTGCCCGGGGGATGCTTCCGGGCCCAGAGGCTGAATTGAGAACGAGCCTTTTGGAAAGCGCGTTGTGGAGCTTGCCGCGGGGACCGTTTCTAAACGGGAAGAAGCAATTTGAGACGTCTGCGGAGCAGTCCATGGTTCTTTCTTCCGGTGCGGTTCGGCGCAAAGACGTCGGTGAGAAAGCGGTCCTTCCGATCCTCCCGGAGCAAGATTCCGTTGCCGGGGAGGGTTCTCGAGCAGATGAAGAGCGGAAGGAGCGGAAGCGGAGGCTGGCTACAGGGAGCTTCGTCGGAGGAGCGGACTTGCTGATCAGCGACGAGTCTGGCAGCTCCGGCGGAACGGTTTCATCGGAACGGAACGGGGTGTGGCACAAGGGCACGTTTCATGCCGCAGATAACCGTGACGTGAGGTTGCGAAAAAAGAGAAGCCCATCGAACGAGGCAGACTTTGATGTAGCAACCGTCGAGGCCTTGATCCGAAGCGAGTTTCTTGGGGACGTGCTTCCCGAACGTGACGTTTCGACCACGAAGTCGCCGGACTCCGCGAAGACAGAGCTTTGCACCGGAGGGGATTCCGCTCGTTTCGCTCGTTCCGCTCGTTCCGCTGAGCCCCTCGGCGGTGGCAAAATGGATACTCTTCCTGACCTGTCGTCCCCGTCAGCCAGAGACGGGGGCAATGAGCGGATTGACCGAGAACCGAATGAGTTGCAGCACGGGCCGTTCACAGTAAAGGACAAAGGTCCTTCGGCAGACGAACTAGACTGGGCTTACTTTGCCAGTGTGCGACAGTTGCAGCAATACCGGCAGCATACGGACGCTTTTCTGGCACGCCAGGGGTCAGTTCCGGACGCGCAGGAGAGCGGAAGCGGAAGGCAGACGGACGGAAGCGGACGTCCGGAACCCGCGGAGGAGCCCACTGTAGGTAGGTTAGAATCAATTCTCTCATGTTTGCCGTTTCTGACTCTTCTCGAGGTATTGGCCTTGGTCCTTCACCTTGCTTTTCCGTCTCCTTTCACCGTTGTCCTGCTTCGGTCCCCTGGTCGGCAGCGGAAGGAACGTCCGACGCGCGTAACGCGAGCGCAACTGTTGAAAGCAACGTACGTGGGAGATCTCCTCTTCGTGTTTGCAAGGCGGGTTGCACCAAACGGTTCAATCATTTTGTCTTGCCACATCTTTTCAGAGTCAAGTAACGAGGCAAGTTACCTCAGGCGTACATCCTCACTCGCTTGGTGAGGGTTGAAACCTGGCCATCAGGATTGCGAGCCTCATCGGGCTTTACTTAATCTTCTCGCATTTGATCAGAATGGTTTTTCCCAGTCACAGGCGTCGCTTGAGCTGTCGCGGTACTTCATTGCACTGTTGACGAGAAGATGATGTTTTGTTGCAAACATTCCATCGAACTCGTGACGAGAAGATAGTGTTCGCAAACAAACCTTACAGTCCCTTTGACGCTCTGCTCCAATCCCTCCACGCGCAGATGATGAGGATTCACAAATCGCCCGGGACCCTCGCCTGGAACGTCTCTCCAACGGGCCGGTTGCGGCCTTACGCGCCCAGTCATCCGCCCGGGCATCATCAACCGACTTACTTCCGAACTTACTCTCCGACAAAAAGCAGCCCGGTAGGAGCTCCCGGCTTCCCTGGATCGCCCAAGTCGACTCCAATTTTCCAAGCGACCTTCCGCTTCTCAAACCGACTTCCGCACAGAAGTCTCCGCTTCTCATCGCACTCAATGCTCCAGAGGACTCCCCCTCGCCCCCAGAAACCGCTCCCCCACCCCCCGAGTTCTTCCCCCCTCTCGTTCCGGAACCACCGCCGCCAGCCCCCGGAACGGAACCCCCTCCCTCCTCCTCCCCCGGAAACCAGTCCCCCCTCCCCCACCTGGAGCTTCACCCCCAACTCCTCCGCCCCTTTCGCCCCCCCCTCCGCGCGCGCAACCCCCTCCCCCGCGTGCGCATCCCCCTCCCCCGCGTGGGCACCCCCCTCCTCCAGCGGGAAAGCCTCCTCCCCCGGCCGCCCCTGCGCCTGCCCCGGCTCCGTCGTCTGCTTTTAGAATTGGTCGGGTTGATTCATTGTCCTTATGGCAAGTCCTAGTTGCGCTTATGGTGGGATACTATCTCGTGGCGTTGCTCTAATTGATGCGGGTGTCTACCGGAGTACACGGTTTGACGCCGTGTGGGTTGAAGGAAAGAGTGAGGGATTGCTTCTCAAGAGCGTAGGATTCGCACGATAGGAAAGTGTCGTTAGAGTCGGATCAAAGCGGTTGCAGGATAGTCTCCTGATACGTTTCACTCTTTTCCAAGGACCACCCGCCGTCAGTGTGATCATACGGAACGACAGTAGATTCACTGCTGTTCAGTATTGCAGAATCGTTCTTCCCAAATACCTTGCACTCGACGATTCAGAAAGATTCGAGTTAACCAAGTCGACAAATTAAAGGCATCAGGTGCTCATCAGGTGTTTGTCTTCATGGCGGTTGACCCTGGACATTTAGGGGGCCCGAAACTCAAGATGGGCCCACACTTTTCAGATCCACTCAGAGTTTTGTGAGTACGTACTATGCCAGATGGGATCGACAGCGTCTGTATTTGCCTGCGCAATGCGCCTGGGGGAAAGCTTGACGGTGAAGCAGCTGGCATGACCTTGACAGCTAAGCTCAGCCATGGTTTGAGACGGCAACAATTATGTGACAGGCCGGCGGGCTGCAATTATGAACCTGTGCCATTAAAATTGGCCATCATGTTGCTGCTGTCACCATGAGCTCTGATGTCAGCGTGTGTTTGCAGGTTGTATCAACGTCTAGGTCATCTTAATCAAGTACACGTGCGTGCATGCCGCGCTTCAATCAGGGTACATTTATACTGCTCATGCATCATGCTTGTGTACCTATAGTATGCGCTTATGGTCAACTAATGCCTTAATCAGAACTGATAGCAAGACCGCGCGGCCTAGTCATCGCCCCAGTCAAGCGTACGCAGCTTAAGGAGCTGAGCCCAGTTGATCTGCACCGTGACAGTGCTTGACGAACAGCGACCCAAAGTCCTAAGGCGCCAGATTGCAATCTGTCATAAGAAGCTGTCTGTTGGTACGTGACAAGCTCTGAAGTCATCGAAGTACTATCCTTCGAAAGACTGGTACTCAAAAAGTAACATAAGGATTGGAAATTGTAGCAGAAAGTCTTCTTTGGCACAGTTATGAGAAGCGACTCGTCAAATCGACAGAATAGGTACTATGGAAACCTGCATTCAATCTGACGCCTTCATAAATGACTTCGGCAGCTTTCACTTCTAGACTGACAAGCTGTCTCATGTACATCGTATTTGATGTATGCAGATTGATTTTAACTTCTTTTTTACTCTGGGAAGCCGTTAACAGCCTCCATGTTAAGATTGGTAAAACAGCGGTAACAACGTACGTTCGCAAGTAATGTATGGTCGACTATGAGACAGCCGGCATTGCTTGTCTCAGCCGTGTCTTCAGCTGCTCCGCCTGGCCCCGAAGATCCTGCTGGAGGAACTTTGAGCGAGCCTGTACCACAGATTGACTCACAATCAGCTCAAAAAGACACCAGCAAGGCACAGGGCACAGTATCCCGATTGCTGTAGGAGGTAAAACAGCGACCCGAAGTGTTCTTGAGCTGGCTGGGAACATGTTCCGGGATCATTTTCTAGGCAGGAACTCTGTCTCTTTCACCATCATTGAGATTTTTCAGTAGCCAGATAATAAGGCTATCTGCAAAGGAGCCGATCCTTGCGCAGTCGCTATCAAAACCAGAAGTAACATAATCCCAACTCATGAGCAGGGACTCAAGTGTGCGAGGCATGCGCTTGTGGTAGTGAATTGGTTCACCGAGGGCACAAAAAGATGCGCTGATGTACCACGATTGGCACACGGGCTGATTGAGACTCTTTAATCTGCCTGGAAGAAAGCTTGCATATACAAAGAAAAATCGAAGGTCTGGATTCGGAGGCGAACTGCAAAAAGCGTATCTAACACAGTCTCTTTTGGCGCTTTCACTGACCATCTCTCAACCAAACACTCCAAACGGGCACCGAAGCAAGTCGGCCAAAGACGTATGGCTTCTTCAACCATAGGGCGTCAGTGCTTGCAGAAAGATTACCTGTATTCGCTGAACAAGCATGTTGCATTCAAACTCCAAGTACTGCTCCACCGTCATGTCGTGCGGGACTGGAGGCCCAATGGTCACTTGCAGAAACGTGCGCGTCCCCAGCCGGATTAGATCACCAGCTTGCAACCGGATCCGGCCGTCTGGATAGGGGAGCAAAGTAATTGTACATCATAAGCGTGGAAGTTTCCAGCTTCGATGCCATGGTGCAAGAGGTGCAACGCCTCATACTTGGACGGACAGGCGTGTTGTCTGGCAAAGTGTTGCTTGTGAGGAAATGCAGAAGCAGGCCCATTATGGAACACTCTGCCAATTGAAAAGCAGTCCTCAAAGTGAAGTAATGTTGCAGCCTGTTTCATTGCTCTTTAGAAGGTTTGCTTGCTTTTCATCCCCAACCGTTCTGCCGGCCCTTCTGCAGGCACTTTATGAAAGATATTGAGGGATGAACGGAGCATGGGAGTATTCATCAAGAAGCTGGTAGTAATAAAACAAATGAAAGTGCCAGAATGCATTGACATACCTGCATCTTCTGCTGCCGGCTGTACATCTCTTCCATTGACTTGCGTGCCATTTGAGCTTCCGAGGTCTCGAATGGTCCAGGAGACGTTTACCCACTCCAGAATCGCGTGCCTTTCTGAGATCTGCGGGAGACTTTTCTTAGCATATGCTTAGAAAAAAAATCCAATGCTAATGCTCAACAGGTATGTCACCTCCCTACTCGGCGCTGTCAATTTGAATGTAACAAGCACAGCTGCAGGAAGAAGTTTAAGACATTCCAGTGTTGGTTCCTTTGCTACTCCTGACCTGACATCGATCAAGCTGACCCCCCAATCCTGGACAAAGGCTTCGCTTACTGACAGACACCTCATTCACAAGGCACAACTGCATGACACAAAACAGTTGCTGTCTGTTGATCGTCATTCATAAAGCAGTATGTGACTGGCAGGGTGCATCAATGCTTGCAACTTACGGAGCTGTCCTGGAGATGCAGAGTGCTCTTCTTTGTCCTCCCAACCGTAATGCTTGCTCCTTTGGCCATGAAGGCTTCTTTTGTCTTGCATGGTCCAGCAACTACCTCCAGTGCGAGATTGTCCCTTTCCCGTCTCTGCTCACCAGCAGCCGGAGCGCTTGCTCCCTGTCCGTTCATTGCGTCTCTGATTGCCGCCAATTACCCCACTATGGGCCGGCGTTGCATACAGTCAGTTGCAATAGGTGAGAGTCCGTGGAAGACAAGCCGGCTGGGTTACGTGAAGGCCTTTCAATCTGCCCTTGCAATTTTCAAAGTCGCGAATGCTGTTTTATGAAGTCCTCCGCAGAGGGTTTTGCTTTTGGTGCTACACGATTGTTGCACTTCCGAGCGCTTCTCCAGCCTCTGCTCGCAAGTCACAAGTCATTCTCCACGCTCCAAGTTGGCACCAGACAAGCTTGCGCTAGGGGCATACGGTTCACCGTTCAATTCCGAAAGGCCTCAGCCAATTCCCTACCTAAGTGTTGATCCTAGAAATCATTCGCCCGGCTCCACCATCACCACGCCGTCCACTTCAATGTCAGCCTTGGCCCTTCAGTGCTTCAGCCTTCAGCTTGCTATCGATCAATACGGTAGAAAACAACGTTTTACCTTTTGCGCCCACTGGCAGAGCTCTCGTCGAAGAACCATCGTCACGAAAGAGACTCGTGAGTTCGATGCAGCGCGTTCGACGATATCCAACTGGGCAATTTTTGAAAGTTTGAAAAGGTTCACGATTGCTCAAACCCTATGATCGACGGTCTACACCACTTTGATCGACGGTTATCAAGCTTCCTTCTGTGACCAACTGGCATCTACGATGATGCCACGTGCTGACTTCTCAGCAAGCCAGCTGTCGACCACTGACTGGCCCTTTGCTCTCTTCGCCATGGTGCTGAAGGCTGAACATGTGAATGTGAATCCTAGCTCTGCATCGAAGCTGCATTGCGCATTGCTTGAACTTGCTTCACAGAAGCGTCGCACCAAGGCCGCAAGATACTTCTTTGTTGTGGATTTGCGCTGTGGATTTGCGCTGCCTATCAGAAGATATTGGGGCCATCTTCCCCGCGCAATGTCCGTTTCTTCTCGCGCCTTTGCTACATCGAGTCCTACGCACATTGCAACCGCGGCTACATCCTTCATAACCGAACAGAACCAGGTGTCGGGCTTATCGTTGATCTCTAGAACTGCTTTTAATCCGAATCAGTGGGCCATCAGAAAACTACTTGATCCTGCTCCCAAGTTTCAACGTAGACCACTTGGCAAACAAGTGTTCATACTCAAGGCAATGGCGACCGAAGGAAATGCTGCCAACGTAACTGGCAAAGTGTCTCCGCGCCTGATGGTTGTGTCGGATCTGGACAACACGATGGTCAGTATTTCTCTGCTTCTATTGGTCCTACTTAAGTCATCTTGCATGCAGGATCTTTGTAGACAGTGTGAATCCATATCACGAACGCGTTGCTTGAAATAGCAGTACGGCTACACTGATTAACGACAATTCTTTCAGTTGTTGCTTCAATAGAACATGTCCTGCATTTCAAATGTCCAGATCCCCGCACTGTAGTCTGTAGAGCTTGACCAGCTGGCTTTCAACTTTGAACGGTCTGGATGCCTCAGCTAAGAGCCCGAGCCCTCCTGGATCACGATGTTTCAAGTGGGGTCAGTGGCTCTTCCTGCTGCAAGAGTTCGGCTGTCAAAACATGAAAAGGTAGGCGACAATGCAGAAGATCGCTTCGAATGTGTTGCAACCTGGCTCGTTCGCCACATTATTGCGGAATGTTTCTTTGACCTCAATACTTCACCATTTTCAGGTAGACCACCATGATCCCCCGAACGAGCGGCTCCAATCTTTCAACAAGCTCTGGGAGTCGGAGTTCAGCCACGATTCGCTCCTCGTCTTCAGCACAGGCCGGTCTCCAGTTCTGTATGAGCAGCTGCGGAAAGAGAAGCCGCTCCTAACGCCAGGCATTGCCATCACGAGTGTTGGAACAGAGATTGTCTATGGGGACACGTTGCAAGCAGACAAAGGTTGGGAGGAAATCTTAGATCAGGGCTGGGATCGCAACAAGGTTGTAGAGCTGACGAAGAAGTATCCAACCCTGAAATTGCAGGTGAGGCTGGCAGGAATTTGATTTGATTGTCCAGAGTCTTGCTGCTATCTTCTTTGTCCATAAGCATTCTCACCTTTTGCCAGTCCGTACAAGTCCACCTCTGGAGTGACTACTCTCAAGCATTGACAGTCTTCCTGCAATGCAAACCAGATTACCAGCAATTCGATGAATTCTGCTTCCAGATAGTTGATGGGGCTTTACTGGCTGTATCCTTCAGTGGTGGCTGAAAACGCAACAACTTAATCCAGAGGTGCATTTTAGGAAGTCTTTTTCTTCGATGGAGTAGGACGCATTTCAAAAGAACGATCCACCATACACCATACTCTACACTGTACTAGAGGCAATAGCAGCCTTCTCTGTAAGATCAACTCAGGCTCAATGCAAAATGTTCCCCCATCAGATGGGGGGGTCAGATGTTGTATCAGATGGTTTGCTTTGCTGACTCTGCAGGCAGACACTGAACAGCGACCACATAAGATCAGCTTCCACATCGAGAAGTCTGAAGCTCAGAAGGTGGTTCCCGACTTGACGGCAGCATTTGAGCGGGAGAAGGTGAGTCGCTACAATTCAGGACGGTCTTGCTGTACAGGCCGAAACTTACCCTATCAGGAGGCTCAGAGGGTTTTTATGGCAAATGCATCTGACAAATGCTCACGAAGTTCTTACTTCAGGCCTCCATTGTATCCAGAAAAAGTAATTTGTCTAAATTAGACATCTGGGGTGGCACAATGTCACACTTGTGAATCTAAACTTTCATATTCCCATGAAAAGTGACCAAGAAACACCAGTTGGACATAAATGTACTGCACACTCGAGTTTACGTTCGAGTGAGTCGACCTGGCGCAGGAATCTGAATTCAATCAGTATTCAGACAATGCTTCTCGGACTCAAGTGCACTCGGTGTATCGTAAGCACCTTGTCTGCGCTCGCGGGCGAACAAATTGATGCGTCGAAACAGAGGTTTGCACTCTAGGACCGAGTATCTGCTTGCCACTGTAATCCTCACATTCAAGTGTCCTCGTACTTCTCCGGTCATTGTTAATTCTATTAACCGACTTTTAGAGTCCTCCCAGGATCTCTTTGCTGTCAGACTGTATGGTTGGGACACACTGAAGCCATGTGCAGAGAGCCGCTTCTGGTTTTTTGATCTGCATTCGATTCTTATCTCAATCTTTCATCTCACAACTCTGCAGCTTGCGGCCAAGATCATCTACAGCGGTGGCTATGACCTCGACATCCTGTCTCAAGCCGCTGGCAAAGGGCGTGCTCTCGCATATCTGCTGAAGAAGTTCAAGTCTGAGGGCCGCGCCCCAAAGAACGTGCTGGTCTGCGGAGACTCCGGGAATGACATCGAGTTGTACGAGGTTGAGGGTGTCAACGGAGTCATCGTAAGTGTCGTTGGTTCTTGTCTCGTTTACCCTGTGGTATACCGCTCGTGAGGGGTGTGGGGGTTCGTGGCGCTGATTCAGCAGGCTGTTGATCTGTTACGAATCATTGAGTAGCACTTTAGGTGCACAGCTACACCATTGTCAAGTATGAAGGACACCCACTTCGTTTGAGCATGTGCGGTAGCAGGATGGGGTGCAGTTGCCTCCAGTGTCCTACTGCTTCGAAATCGTTTCTCTTCTAGAAAGCGAATCGTACATCAGTACTAAGAGGTTGAACTCTGGAGGTAGATGTTGGAAGCGTTGTTGGAGGACGCAGGAACGAGATTCTTGCACCAACCTTCTTCGGACCGGTGTTGATCAGGACGAAGTTATGGTGCTGCTGCAACTGAGTTCTTTGACACCATTTTACAGACAAATGTCCAACTGCTCTCGTATTCGTGAAGCAGACACGTCTTAGACTATTCAACACACTATTTTCATATCGTATCGAAAGCGTTTGCATTGCTTGCAGGTTGGAAACGCCATGGAGGAGCTGGTGTCCTGGTATGACTCCCAAGCAGACAAGGGCCACGTCTTCAGAGCCACGCAACGGTGTGCTGCGGGAATTGTGGAGGCCATTAAGCACTTCAAGTTTGATAGCTCGAGTTGATGACTTGAGTAGCCAGCTTTTGACAATGGTTTGCAGATCACAAGTCCGCTAAATGAAAGCCTCAGGTTGAATGACATGAGCGACTGTATATTATGCAGAGGTGAATCTTCTTGAGAGGCCACCCGACCTCGGATTCTGAAGCGCGGATTGATGGAAATCAGATCCCAACACCACATGGCGGCATCCGTGCAATTTGTAAGCAATCATTGTCGACAACTATTGGATATAGAAGAAAGACGCCGCGCGCTTTGCCTCTTGGGGTTTCAACAATGCATGTGTGCTGCCGGGACAATCACCAGTTCAAATCAGTTTTGGACATCTTGCAGACTTATCTGATTGTCAGGATTCTCTCGCTTCGACATGCAAACCCAAGCTTTGACTGGCAATTCACCTGCATATAACCGTGCTCACCGGTATATGCATCACACATGCATTCCTTATGAAACCAACGCTCCTTATGTGGTCGGCATTAAGCCATGCGGCCGATCATAAAAGCGACATATCGCGTCCCTTCCGTCAGCTCTTTGGGCTCATTATGTGGTCGGAAGCCATGCGCAGAGCAAGGCGATGCAATAGTTGAAACATTCTTAATTGAGTCATTCCTTGCAGCGGCCAGCACTCAGATGAGCCTCGGACTCGTGGAGAGTCATGCGGGCAGAATGACAATTTGCGCGCGCGTGAGCTTGCAGCAAAAAGGAAGGCCGGCCGCGCCTGGGCCGCGGGCGCATTGCGCCCGCTGCGCCGTTCATGATCTTTGCGCGCCGCGGGCCCGTTCGATCGCGTTCAAGTTCTCACACAGGTCTCGCAGCATCGACGGTCGACGGGACCTCGTCTGTTGCAACATCGATCGAGCAATTTGAACGGCTCAGAAAATTTTCAAACTTTGAATGGCGACGCTCCTCAAATCCGGTAGGTGCCGTCCTGCTAAACAGAAATTGGTGACTGGCCAAGGGCCTACCAAATGAAGTTCGGTGTTAAATAAACGGTCACGATCGCTCCTGACCGATCGGACGGTGCACGCAGGGTGATGAACGTGACGGATTCTGCCGGTGCCGGTAAATATTGCTGCATGACCCGCAGAGGACGCCACGTCAGCACCCCCCGACAGTGGAATCCGAGCCTTTTCGATCATGGTCCGTCGAACGCTCGGGACTTAGGGCTAAGCGACTGGGCATCACAGCCAAGGTCGGGGCTCAGGCACTTAGAGAGAGGCCGCGGAGTCCAAAAGGCAAGTTCGAGGGCCCGGTAAAAGCGGACCGGGTAGCAGCAGGCAGGTGGAGGCGCACGGGGGCTTAGGGAGGAAGAGGCGTGATAACCATGGAGTCTCAGGCTAGTCTCCAGCATTTCAGCAATGAGTTGAGCAATATAGATCCGGACACTGTACAGAGCATTGCGTCAGGTGCGGTTAGGGTTGACATTGTGAGTTGCCAGGAGGGCGTCGCTGTCAAGTGCTTCACATGCGCTCACCGCATTTGGGTCAAGAGCAAAAAGTCCTCCAGCCTCATGACGCTTGCATGGCGCAAGAGCGACCGCGGCACGCTGATGGGCTACCTGGTCAGTGCTGATGTTCCGAGGGCCAAGCAGTGCAAGCAGGTT